GTTCAACTCAGATGATTTAAGATCATTCAAGAGGGTTTCCGACTGAATGCGCTAAACTGATGGGTGTTGGCTTAAATGAGGGAAGGATTTGCTAGCTGCTCTCGCCTGTGTGTTTTATGATGGTCCAATGCACCAGTACACAATGCCCTCTATAACTTTATACTTTATACGTAACAATGGCAGAATTATAAATAGATCGATATATATATATATACACACATTTTATCAAAGAATATTTTTAGTATCACATGTTCATCATATTTCCATAATTGTGCAAACATACGCTATGACTCTTCCGTTTTGTACTACGATACTTAGAACTGCTTGTGCCACAATGTGCCATTCTATGTATTCCTTTGTGAAGAGGATTGTGCCCGTCAATGGCCAGAAGTCTTTCATCTCATTTAGATGTTTTTCTAGCCCTGTGCTCGCTGAATAGTTCGGGGTGCATTGATGCGCAACCCCAGCCGAAGCGAACAAAAAATCTGAAATAGATTTCAACATCAGGGCAGCCCGTGTTGCATGGGAGTGATCTGCATAAAACCCTTGATGACACACCCAAAATAATATGTATATATATATATATGAATGTATGTGTATAATCTTATATATCTATACTGCAGGTGTTATGCTAGTGTCCAGGAGATATCTGTGAAGGCTTCATCTTGGCATGACAAAATTTGCCGCAGCGCTTGTTGGCACTGCAGGATGCCTGGCTCAGTTTGGCCTTCCAGCCAAGAGGTGCTTATTGGATCTTATTGGAAGGATTTTGATGGCGCCTGTTTGGATATCAAGGCCGACAACAATCAAACTATATTATTGATATCTTTTATTAGGTAGTAAAACGAGATGACAATGACCTTTAGAAATTATCCGAAGACACAGTGTCCGTTGGCCACTATAGGGAACGTTATCAGTGGTTTATGTCACATCCTGTACTTCATTCCCTGTCTGACGCCTTGTGCCTGGGTCTATCCAATCTTTTCAAGCCGAGTCGAGCCTCTTTTTCTTTCTCATTCTTTGGCTTGTTCTTTGCTCGTTCTACTTGTTCTTTTGCTTGTTCTTCTTTGTTATGGTGGTAGCATAGGCCATTGGATTCGGACATTGAGTGGTTTCAACAGTGCAGAGCCGAACTTTCCAAGCGCTTTCGCGTTTTAGTCTTCATTGTTGCCTAGGGCATGAGGTCTAGAAGAAGAGGTACTTAACAGAAACTTGTGTACAACTGGACTGCAGAATTTTCTCTGAACTGGTCACTGGTTCCTTAAAACAGAAAGAGACGGATGATTTCCTGTTTTTGCTGTAATTTCGCTATGCGCTATGTCACACTATCAGGCGCTTTGCCATGTTTCACATCTGCTAAATTGGAAGCTGCCAGGCAATGGCCTCCATTGCCTGATGATCCAAAGACTGGTGTACCCTTTCTTCTTGGTGCTGTTTGCTTCGTCCGCGGCTTGTAAGGTACACGGAAGGTCACAGTAAGTCTTTGTTCAACACTTTCAGCTTTTTTGAGCTGTTCAACTCATCAAAGGCACATTTTCTGCTTCTTACCAAGGCTGCGGCTGGTGAAAATTCTCGCAAGTCAACGAATCTTGGCTAAACTATATCTAGTTTTCCGAAGTCTTTGCATGTTTTGCCGGGTCCATTTTTACTCAAGACTGCGTATGTACTGTATTGGAAAATGTTCATCCACATGTACAAGATTCGTTTGGATTCAGGAAATGCATGCCATGTAGGGCTAAGTTGCACCCTCATCCACATATATAATAATCTTGGGGTGCAATCTGGTGTCAAGCGTTTTGGACTCTCGGGATTCTGCAGAATAAGCGATGCAGAGATTGCCCACTGCCTCGTGGTACCTTTGACGTCAAAGGCTGTTCATTTGCACCGGGGACATGTCGAGCTGGCAAAGCTTTATCGGTCAGCGGGAAGTGTGCAGGCTGCATCAGGCTGTATTAGGCTGCATCAGGCTGCATGAGCCTGTATTAGGCTGCATCAGGCTGCTATGATGTGCTCTTGAGCTTTTTCAGCGCGTGCTTCGTGCCAGGTCTCACTGCTTTGGAGGCAGTCCATGGGAAACGCACGTAGCTTACACATGACATGATATGACATGCTATCCGCTTCTATCTGCTTTTTTGTCACCCTTCACACACTTTGATGAGACATTTGAGATTCCAAGGCCAATCGGTGCAGTTGCAGAAGTTTCTCTTGACGTGCTTGCTTCTCAATCCACTCAGAAAGCAATCTGAAAAGTGATTTGTCAAGAGCTTGGCAAAGTAGCACATCCATCATGACACTCAGAGAGGCTAGAACGCATCGAGACCTGCTATGGGGACATCGCTGAATGTGATGGGCTTCGTTCTTAATTTTCTTTTGTATGTTTTATATTTTTGCATCCATATGCAAGCGTTGCGTTTGTCGAAGCATGTACTCGTACATGCAAAGGACGGGCCCTGACACTGGCCGAATCCATGCAGAGGTACAGTACTGGGGCTGTTCTGCTTCCACGTGAGCAGTCAGAAGCATCTTTGGAAACAAGCGTAACTCACACAAACATCTTTCTTTAATCTCTGTTTTCTGTTTGATTTGTTTTGACTAATTCATTTTGAATGGTCTTAGCCAAGAGGTCTTAGCCAAGAGGTAGTGATTTCTGCCGCAAGGGGAATGCCTATTTGATGAACAACTTTCCGAAGTTGACCTATATCCAAAGCGCAAAGTGTCTGGACTGGTCCGGTCCTGAGCATCTCATTGAGTAGGGAAGGGTAGTGACTCTCCACTGTATTCAGCTGAGTTGGTGGCATATGGAAACCAATCTTCCTTTTTTTTGCAGACTGTCAGACTGTATGTGTTTAGCACTTTAGCCCCTCCTGTGCATTTCTTCTTTGTTCTCTTCTAGCTCTGCACTGCTAGAAAGAGATATTCTACCATAGGACAGCTGGAGATGACTTCCTTTGAGCGCCATCTGATCGAAGAAAGTGCGAGGAAACATCTGGATTTTGATGTAGAGTGTTGATGTTGTGTGTTGCAGTGCCAGGCCATTGGGAAGAGGAGCTTGCACTTCATAATACTTCATGACATCAATATATTTACATATATTTACATATAATCATATTTAATCATATACATATATGTATAATTATGTATAATATAATATGATATATATATATGATATATATATATATACACACACACACACTTCATGTGCCATACACGATCAGCTCATCGAGTCACCAGGAGGTTTGGAGGCGGTGGGTTTGTGCCGGTCTCAGTGTAAAAAGAAGGCGATGGTGAGCACAAGAAGTTGTAAAAGGATAGCAGAAAATATGAGAAAAGGAATAGAATATGAATAGAATAATGGAAGATGAATAGAAATTGCAATGTTTCTTGTGCAAATATGGATTGTTCCTTTCAGGTCTTCAGGGACACCGGTCGAGCAAATTCAGTCATCTGTGGATGGCTATGCCAGCGCGATGCAGCCAGAGGTTGGACAGATTTCTGCACGCGGTGTTCGTTTCGGGGCTTGTTTTGCAGATTACGTTGCAGTGTCTCAAGGATTATATTGGCACGGTCCCAGATGGCAAAGTTATGCAAGGTGATGCAAAGTGATGCAAAGTGATGCAAAATGCAATTTCCAATTGGGCACACTGTATTGTGTCAAACCTATGCCCGACAGCTGGCACAGCTGCATGACAGCAGGGACAGCAGCAACAGCAGCAACAGCATGAGTTACAGCAGCACCCTGGTTAGCAGCAGGACCAAGTCTCGAAAGAAATAGTGTGCCACTGACCGCCTGTGATGCTGCAGCACTCGCAACCTGTGGCAGCATCATTAATCATAATTTGTTTGTTTTCTTCTGTGCAGCAAATTATTTAACTTCGAAAAAAATCCGATAGTGCTAGCAGATGCTAGCAGTATCTATCCGTGCTCGCAGAACAAATGGAATCCGATGCCAGTGTATCATTGAAGGCTCACACCTTGGTTCTCGTAGGGTTGCCCTCTCTTAAAATCTGTTTGTCAAATTCTGTCAATACGAAGTGCATAGGAGTGCTGTATTTCTGTAGGCACCTAGGATCAACTTTTATGATGGTTTGACAGATGGAGTGCTTCAAGTCAGATACTGTACTTGTACCTCCTTGGTTCTAAAGAAGCCAGCTGACGCAGATTTCCTGAGCAAGCCCACTGATTGTCAATGCAAAATAGTAGAATCATCAACTCAGGCCCAAACTAAACACCACTCCAATCCACTACACAATTACAAGGTACATGGCTTTTCTATCCTTTTCTGCTTTTCTAGTCTTAGTCACTAACTTAGTCGCTACTTCTTGCGGTGGAATCTTCATAGTCAGACGATGTCAGACGTGTTTTGTGTGATCTCTTTCACTTTGATAGACGGCACTCTATCGGACTCTATCGCTTGTGATTCGCTTGTACTTGTTTCATTTGTTTCTGCTGTTCCTGTCGCAGGTTTTCAGAGGTGGAGCCAGAGACTTAGTGCTGGAACATGACTTGGTGGCTTCGGTCAACTTTGCAAGATACAATGATACAAGAGACTTATGACATCTTGTGACATGTAACGTTGTAACGTTGTCACGTTGTAACAACGTTGTAACGTTGCTTTGTAACGTTGCGTTGTCACAACGTTGTCCCAGCGTTGTTGGAATGTAAAGCCTTGAGCCGGCCTGCCGCGCTCTAAGGCGACGAGCTCAGGCTGGGCGCTGCGATCGCTGTGCGGCACGGACTCCAGCCGATATCGTAAAAACATAAAGCACCAAAGCAACAAAGCAACAAAGCAACATCAAAAAAAAAGAATAAATTTATAAAAAACATATAATTTTTGATTTAACAAATTTAACAACAAGTTTATTGATAAAACATCGTACTGCGAGCAACGCATCGCTGCTATGATATGCTATGTGACACTATGCAAGACCTTTGCAATTCTGCACTGTTTGATTAGCAGCGTGAGCCTTTCTTCAACTACTTTGCCAATTGCATTCGAGCGGAGGCTTGACAATGAACACCACACCTTGCGCTGCCCCGATGGTACATTCCACACAGGTTGCCGCAAACAAGCATCAGTATCTGGTTGGGGTTCTGCGAAATTTTGCCACACCCACAGTCTTGCAGTACTCTTTGTATCAGACTTCTGCCAGGTGCAGTCCATTCCAATTCCGCGTGCGCAAGGGATGTCCTACACGCTGCCCGCTGATAGGCCGCAGGAGACTCTGTTAGATTCCGGTTTTTTTAGATCTTTTAACATGAAGTTTTGCCCTCACAAAAGTTTACAAGTTTTGCTAACATCTGTGAAACTCCACCGTCATGCAGAATTCTTCGCTCTTTGGCCTTTACTGGTCTGAGGTCTTTTGAGCTACATGCCCAGCAACAAGCTCAAATGCTGCTGGCTGTGCTGGGCTCATCTGGAGATAGGTATAGAGTTGGACGATGGACAGATTCGATAGGAGAGGAGAGTTCCAATTCTAGATGGATAGGTGTGTTTGATGTCCAAATGTAAGAACACCAGAAAGCTTCAGCTTGGCCACTGCAGGGTGATTTGCAACTAATCGGTGTGGTGAGAGTTTCTCTTCAAAATTCAGGGGGTAGATCCTGTCAAACATTGCAGAGTCATGCCGAATTCCTTCTTGGAGAGCGGCCTTTGGCTTGGGACCGGATGTGCAAACAGTTTTGCAAACAGTTTTGAGATGTTTGAGGCAGCTGCAGCCAAACCTGGGGAGGCACCTTGAGAAAGAGGGAGAGAGATGGAGCGGCCTGAGACAGATCGAGATACAAACCGAACATATTTGCACGTAGGGGGACAGACATGTATGAGTTCAGATGAATCCGATGAAGCTGGATCACCCAATGTGTATCAATGTGTTGCATCTTGAGTGCATTGAGATTTTGCTCGTTTTTGATTAGATTTGATATGATTTGTCCATTTGCAGATTTTGCAGGCTCAGCCAGTGACGACTTCCAGCTCTGTTCAGCTTGTGTGTTGCTGGCTCTCCTTGTACCACTTGTACGCACCTGGATTTGCTGCGTCGTGTGCGTGGGCTCTTGCAGATAGCAGGCCAGCGCCGTTTGCAAATGGATCCTATGTGCCCGGGAGGGGTGGGTCATTCGTACCACCTCCCGTTTCCGTAGCACAGCCTGGGCCTGGATCTGAGCTGCACAGAAGCTGCACTTCATTGCACTTCTGACACACCTTAATTATATTCATCTTAATTATATGTGAGCGCTTGCGTGTCTCTTCTTTTGTTAATTCCGAAACCACCCGAAACCATTGATATCAATTTGCTTCTTACCTGTGAGCCTTGCAGACTCTGCACGCTTGCCACGCTCCTATTCTTCCTGCTTACCCGAGCTATATCCAAGTCAGACTGTGGATCTCTCCCTCTCCTCGAATCTCCATTGCAATTTTCCTTCCAACGTGAGCTTGGCTGGTTAAATTCGCTGTCATGTCATCAGTCGTGCTTCACTTTTGCAGCGCTCCACTATCCCGGTTCTCATCACTTCTGCGGGGTCTTGTTTTAGTGAATTTTAGTGCAGTGTGCCAGACTTGTGACTTACAGGCCAAGTCCTCCCGTGCTCAGCATGCCTGCCATCGGCCCACCACTAGGGCATCCTGGCATCTGGGATTTGAATTGAGCGATCCCAAAAAGGATACAGAGCCGAGAACAAGAAAGCCAACAGTGGCAGTTGAATTGCACTGGATCGATCCATAGCGCACATAGCGCACAGAGCACATGAAGAGCCCCACATTGACCTGGCAGACCTGGCAGAACATTGTGTCGATATGCGTCGTCATCCAAGGTCTGTGCCCACAGTCGCTTACAATCAGCCCATGCAGTGAAACCGGCATGTGCTAAGCCGCTGAGCCATTGCGCGTTCGAAATCTGACTATGTTCGACATTGTTCGACGGCATTTTGACACATTCAGTAGCATAAAACTTCAATAGACTTCATGACTTTAGATGAGAGATGTGCACTAGTCGTGGCAGGTTTCCCAAGTCCCGGCCACTCATCTGCACTTCATTAAAAACCCAAACTGAGCATTTGAGCTTTCCAATCCGTGCCTGCAGGCTCTTGTGGAATGCCCGAAACATAGCAATGCCATGTGCAACGCAAAGGTTTGCTGCCTTTGCACAGAGTTTTTTTGCAGATCTATAGCTGCGAAGATCTAGAAGCTCTGGGTCTTGAGTCTTGTGCGCTCCCAGGCCAGGAGTACGACCGAGGGGTTCAAGCTTGCAGGCTTGCAGCCAGGGGTTCGAGATTTGGAAAGGCTGCATCTAGCTGCTTTGACGCTTTGCAGATGGTGTGGCATTCTTCTAGGAAATTTTTCTGGAATGTTCTGGACATGTATATATATATATTATATATTATATATATATATTATATATATATTATATATATATATTATATATATATTATATATATATTATATATATTATATATATATTATATATATATATTATATATTATATTATATATATATTATATATATATATTATTATATATATATTGCATCTCATATTTGATCATATTTCAATTGATTGAATATGTAGTCATGACCGTTCCTATACTCCATATATAGGAATGTTGGTTTATTTACTTGTCCAACCTCGGAATGGATGTTCGACCCGCAGCAACATTCTTCCAGCCCCGCAGAATGTCATAGGGCATGGGTTGATAAACGATACAAACGATACACCTTGCAACTGTAATTCGTAAAGGCTGGGGTTTCGCGTGGTTCGTTCCTTTCCGTTCTTTTCTGTTTGAATTCGTTTTTGGTCCTTGACGTTGCCATTTCTCAGGCACCACCTGCAGCACCTACACCCTGTGCCTGCGGATCTGGCGTTCCTGGCGTACCTGGCATACCTGGTGGACTTCCGGGTGGACTTCCGGGTTTCCCAAACCTTCCAACCCCGGGTTCAATGCAAGGCATGCAAGGCATGCAGGGCATGCAGGGCCTGCCGGGCCTGCAGGGTCCAGGACTTGACCTAGGGCAACTAGGTTTGCGTCCTGGACCTTTAGGGCCGAGCTTTTCTGGCGTCACGCCCTCAACTCTGGCAGAGCCAATTGCAACTATATATTACAGTTGCAAGATGTTGCAAGTGAAACATTGTCAAACATGGCAAAAACACAAGAGTGACAAGCTTGCAAGACAGACTTTTCAGATCCTTTCAGCGCATGTACTTCTCAGAGGCTGGACAAGATCCGATGCAGTTCAACTTCCAGGGCCTTCAGATGCCGCAGGCCGGTGTTTCACGACTAGCAACTCTAGATTGCTTATCCTTGGGCTCTTCGACTCGCATTTTCGGGCTACAACTGAACCTTCATGGCACAAGTAGGAGATGTGCTAAATTGTGCCGAATGCCAGTTGCAAATGCCGACGCTGGGATCTTTGCCCCCTGGCCACGTGCTCAGCTGTGACAACTCCACAGTTCTTGCAAGTTCTTCCATGCATTGTGGATGAGCCGCATCGCCGAGAGAGAGAGAGAGAGAGCATGTTCATGTTTCATGTTCCACAAGAAACAGTTTGTTCCGCATCAGTGTTGTACTCTTGTTTCGCCCCCTGTCCAGGTCAAGGCATGCCAAATCCTGGCCGGCCAGAAATGCCGTCGGACTCCAAGTCGCAAAAGATGAATTCAGGAAGGCGCTGTGGGATTTACCGTAAACGAGTTGAAGCTTCAGTCAGAGCTTGCCTACATGAATTCTACATGCAGTTCAGGCCAATGTTTCGACTTGGCTCTCCTGCGTAATTGCCGCATTCAGACCACAAGCCTGTGTCCAAGACTTAACAAGGAAGAAAGCAGCTGCCGTGACTAGAAACAGAAGAAGACTTGTTCAAAGCTTGGTTGAATTTGAAGCTGAAACGCAGTCGAGGTGTTGCGATTTGCTTGCCCAATACGGGCTGTTTGAGTAAGTTGCAGTACTCAGCCAGATGTTGGAGGCTAAAACCGCTAATGCAGACAGACGGATTAATTAGCTGCGCGTGGGGCAGAAAAGGGGCTGTGCTCGTGTTTTGCGCATGTTTTTTAAATGGGGAACATAAAGAGATGAGAAGGTTGTCCAAACCCCAAAAAAGAATTTGATAACTCATTTCCTGAATTTTCTGATACATATGCTGTTTTTCCGGCTTGATCTTGGTTGCTGTGAGCATGATGAGAGTCTTGGGGCACACTAGACTCTAGATTAAGTGCCGGTGGTTGACCGTTGAATGACACGTGCAATTCAGTCAGAAATGCCCAAACTATTCAAAATGATTATTTTGATTTATTTTGTTTATTTTGCTGGGCTGGATTCTCCAAACTCCGCCGTGTTCCTCTCAAGCTGTCGAGTGGCTATTTCTTCATCGCAGCTGCAGGTTTCACTGGAAGGGTTGGCAGCACAGCAGAAAATGCAGCATCCATATCCTTTTAAGTCAGGAAAACTTTTAAAGGTTGTTCTCTTTCTTCCATCAGGCTTTGACGACAAACAATCCCGCAAAAGTCCAAGCCAATACAGTTTGTTGATGTTTGTTGAATACGTTTTTTTTTTTTGCGCGTTTGTAGTTTGCGAAGAAAATGTCAAAGCTAAGTCCTCAAAAAATGGGAGGGGGATTCAATGGATTCAACATGCAACCTCGCTTCGGGGGATGGTAAAGATGGTCCCAACAAGAGTACCTGTGGATACCTGTGGATACCTGTGGTGGGGTTGAAAACATGGCTATGTCAACAGTGAGTCCTGTTTGATCATGGAGCAAATATCAAAAGTTTCAACTCCTTGGGCCAGCTCCTTACGTGTCCTTTCGAGCTGATACTTTTTTCATTTGCGTTTCTTACTGCATGTGATTGCTGTTGTGGACGCTGTGGTGCAAGTTCTTCAGGAGTTTCTGCTGATACAATTCAGAGACAATCCAAATACGGAATGCAGTGTTACACCCCTCCTCCTGAGCACATTCAATAGTCACAGGAGAAGCATTTGTCCCTGCATTCCCATTGTGTGCATGTGCCATTCTTGCTGCCACATGTTGGCATCTTTGATTGCTGCTTTACATTATATCTTTCAATACTTTGCTGCTGGTTGCTTTACAAATGGACCAAGACAGTCAGCTAGACGAGAGGTTGCAGCGCATGATAACAGGGATTTGAACCTCTCCAGCTTGCAACTGCTCTCAATCTTACTTGATTTTTATTGAATAGTATTCAGTCGTTTTCAATCCTCTCGTTGTTCTTGATTCTGCGCCATAAGGGGTGGCTACTTGAGCTTGGCTCGGGTAGATACATCATACTTGCAGCTGCAGCCCTAAATTTGCTTGGCACAGCTGGTTTGGTGCATCTTGTGCAGACCAAAATGCAGAATGTAGACTTGAGCTGGCATGGAAAAGCCCAGTTGAGATGCGTCAAGTGGGCTACAGCATTGTGTCCTCTGCAAAGTCGTGTGCCGAGGGTCTGTGGATTATCACATTCTACCTCACAGGCTATGACAAGGCCTTGGTGGATCAAATTCTGCATCAATCAGCATGAAAAACATTCACAACCCACACGATGAAACGATCCTCTCAGGTCTATTTGATATTTTCCCTCATGTGCTTCATCTTCGGGTGACCATCTAAGTTGGCGGAACGAAAGAATGTGAGTCACGGCCAAGCTGTGCAGGAATGATTGGTGCAAATGGCTTGAAATTTGATTCATGCCTGATGTATCCTGATGCAACAGATGTTCGTGCAGGTGTTCTTGTGCCAAAATAGATAGGAGGAAAACTTGAGGAACAACTGGCGGAATGGCCAGGCCGCATGAAGTATGGAAAGTGATGTGAAGTGATGTAAGGTGATGTAAAGAGAAAGTGCGGTCTTATTATGTCTATATGGCTTATATATTTGTTCTCAATGAACGCGATGCTTTTTGGATGAATTGCTGCGCCAAGGCCAGGTCTGGGTGAAGGCCATGGAGAGTACTCTGCTAGCCTCTTAGAAAACTTCCAAAGTTCCAAAGAGGCTTCGTCAAAACAAGCGAAACAAGGCCTATTCCGTATTCAACAGAGGGCTGACGTCTTAGCAGTCTTAGCTGCCTTGGCTTCGCAACAGAAGAGTTCTCAGTTGTTTTGAATGCCATGGAAGCCTGGACGAAGCCTGGACGAAGCCTGGACGAAGCCCAGAGGATGTGTGTTGAGTACCGAGGCAAAAACACCTGCTGGGTGATTTGCGCGCCGAACAGCTGGATGCAGAACAGCGTCAAGACCTCAGGCAGCATGATGAAGACAGTGGAGAATTCCTTTCAGACGAAACGCCCAACACATCCCACGAGAATCTAAAAAACTTTCACTACAACTGACCGGAATATAAATCTTTTTGAACAAATTAGAGCAATTAGAACTTTTCCACACTTTAAACAGTCACTAGGCTCTGCATGGACGATGTTACTTAGGTGGAAGCCACCTGGCTGGACCCACTGATGGAGGCGGGATCGAACCGGAGAATTGGGGCATCAAAGAGGCTACAGGGAAGTGAGAACAGGGCAAAGAATGAAGAATCTTGAAGTCAGTTTCTTGAAGGAAGAGTTGTAGAGTAAGATAGAGTAAGTAGAGTAGCTGAAATTAACAAGCAAGATGAAGAGGAGTAAGGAGGAGAGGCGAAGGACAGCAACAACAGAAGCAACGAGTATAGTATAATGTATAATAAAATATGATAAGACTTTGTGCTGACATTCATTGCCTTTGCTCCTGCTGTTGACGTTCCATTCCCCAGAAAGATATATACCGTTTGTTTTTTTTTCATTGTCGTTAAGCTTTGCATTATGTTTATTCGCTGGCTGATGCTGATTATGCGCTGGAAACCTGACGGCTACGAGTGCGGGCCATATCTGCAGGACGAGACTGGACAAAAAAGAACAAGGAAGAAAAAAAGAACAGCAAGGGACAGCAAGAAAGAACAAGGAAGGAAAAGGAAAGAAAAGGAAGGACAAGGAAGGACAAGGAAGGACAAGGAAGCAGATATCTTGTCATCAAACATAACCGTAGATTGCTGGAGTTGCTTCTTTTGTGACCGGGGAAAGAATACATTGTCTTGCACACAGAAGTCTTGCCTTGTAGCATAGACAGAGGTCCCCCCCAAAAAGCTCTACCTTTCAAGCTTGATCTATTCATTGCACCCAACTCAAACCTCCCGCTCACTCCACCCACATTTTTCCACCAAACTCATTGCAGTCACTCCACCCTTGTCACTCCACCCAACTTGCTCTGCGCAACTCACTCCATCCAATCCATTCCACCCAATGCATTGCACCAGACCCACACCTGCACCGAACTGGTTCACTCCCCACTCCCTCACTTCAACTCCACCTCTGCATTCGCTTCGCACTTGCTGCCATCGCTTTTCCATTCCTCCCACCTTGCCCGCTCAGCTTTGGTTCACTACCCCTTGGGCCTCCAGCGTGTTTTATTTGAGGCCTCATCGATCCTGGAGTTGAAGCAGAGGCCAAGCACAGACTTGACAGGCCAATGACATGGAGTGCTGACTTCGGGAGAATAATTGCTTGGCTTTGACAGGACAAACCTGTGATTCGAAGCCGAGATGCAAATCAGCCTGGGTCCTTGTTGCATGTCACCTTGCCCATGCAGCAAGTGACATGTTGCCGTATTTTTTCTTGGTCATGCTGTCACGCTTCCTTAGGCCATGCCCATGTGGCTCAGGCTGGGTGGCACCGCTTGTTTTGTGGCTTTGTAAACTGTCAAATTCCCGCGCCAAAGGCACAAAGGCAAAGCGCTGTTGCTTTGATTCTAGACCTCGTCCACAAGACGGTCAGATTCTTAGCACCAGATGCAGCAGTGTTGCGCCTTTGTTTTTCGCATCTTTCGTAGTCCTTGTGTGACCTCAACTCAGTTACAGCAAAAAGCCCGCCGAAGGATGGCATGCATCCTAGATTGGTCAGCCTGTGACAGAAGGGCAGATCACTTTAGTTGCGGTGAAGTCGGTCCTTCGCATTATCTTGTGGTGATTTCATACGTCGATCCCATATCAATACTTTATGTGTAATGCACACTGAGGCAATGATCTGAACCGGTGAATACTAGTCCGTCATATCACAGTGAATTACATTGCGTATTGAAGTATTGTTTTGTAATGCTACGGTAGCTACTTTCCAAGACCTTTGCATTTGGACTAAGGCCCTGATCCCTTGCTGGAGCAATGGAGAAGCAGACTTATGTTTTGTTTGTGTTCTGTGCTTGTTGAAGGTTGTTGACTTCAGTTGATCTGATTTCTTCGTAATTCCGCATCTCAGGATCTGAAATGGAGGTCATCGCTAGCGGAAGCCGGACAAAGGGCAAGTGAGAGCCAAAGAGTTGCACGAGAATTACGCGTGCAATGCATGATTCTGGCAGTGGTTCATGCTTCACAGACTATCCACATTCCTTTATACAGATATGGAGACCGTTCTTGGATGAACTGTGCAAGCTGAGTATTTAGGTTCCATGAGTCACAAGCATCCAGAACAAAACTCGATTGGCACTCCGATCCTTAATGTGCATTTTGTGCAATCTGCAGCTGAAGAGATGCAGGGTTGCAGTGACATTCACAAAATGTAGGAAAGTCAAGACATTCACAACAAGCTGATTTCTGAAGTTGCATGGACACATAACTCATGTAATTCTAAGACTTCAAACAAAACGTTCCGTCATTCAGCTTCCTGATTTTGATCAGAATGATATATATATATATAGACATATAGCAAATCGCACGTGATTGGTTTTGAGACCAGCCAACACCTTCTTCTGAGACCATCTGAAAGCACATGGCAACGAATGGCAGTGCCGGCAGTGCTGTCAACACAGATGAACCTCCTGCAGCTCCATGAGAGAAGCAGGGGAGGCTGACCAGCAGGCTGACCAGGCTGAGTCATGCTGCTGTGGATTCTACTGCTGGCAGACCAGGCAGCTACGTCAAGCTGTTTGCACTGGACGTTTTTGTTCAGATTGACAGCTGCTTTCATTGCACGTCTCCTCTCCTGTCTAGATCCTGAGAGTTCCTGGCTCTACATTTGATTCAGTATGATCCTGTTCAAATAGAACGCTGTCCTTGTCTCCAGTACTTCATGGGTGTTGGAATGAAGCAAACAAGTTGTGGTATTACTGTTTGCTAAGCTCCCCTTTTAGAGCTGCATCTGCAATGTGAATCACATGAATTCAGGACCGCCAAACAAAGGTTGAAGTTTATTTTTATTTGCTTACGATGTATAATAATCTAACTGAAGGCGTTGCATTCTGCGTCGGCGCGTCAAGCCCCAGATGGAGCTGAAGTGGCCAGGATCTCAAAGTGTCAAAGTGAGAATCGGTGGAATATGATGGAACTATATCTTATCTATTTGTATGCATGTGTACACATATGTGCCATCCGGATTCATCCGTTAAGTTCTTTTTTCAAAATTCATTTTTTTGCTATTTACATGGTGGCACGCTGTGACACTTGATGGATTACGCTGAATGCCTGTGAATCTAAGATCAGCATGTGTGAAGCCAGGCGTTTCCTTTGTTGGCAGGATCCAGAAGCATACAGCTTCAGTTCCTTTCAAACTTTGCCAATGCCTGGTTGCATTTTGAGGTCAGTGCCTGCTTCTTCGCATATGTACTCAAGCTTGACATGCCTGGTTCCAGCATGCCACTCAGGGGGCAGACGCACTTAAGCCACCTTATCCACTTGATTATTGTTCATTTCGCTCCCATATCTCCCCTGTTTTGCTTATCTGAGACCATCATACAATCCGAGCGTCAGACTTCCAGCGAAAGGTGCGGAGTACTGTCAGACCTTGTTTCACATCTTGTCTCACAAGTGGCTACCGGCTACCGGCCTGGACATCTTTGAATTCAGCAAAGCGACAAGGCAGCTGGCTTTTATGCAGATGCAGGATCACCTCCACCATTGCTGGAGGCGCAGTCTGTAGACTTGCAAATCAACTGCAAACTCACGATGATGGGACTGCGCACAAGGATTCACAAGACATATGCGGCATATTGATATTGCACAGTGCACATTTCTTGGAAAAATCCTACATGAAGACATTATTAAATCTATACAGTAATTATCATGGGTGTCTATTTTGCTGGCTTGATAAATGCTTAGTCTGAAAGTGCCCTTTCATGCAGCAACAATACGCCCAAAAATTGGAATGTTGTCAAAAAAGCTCCTGCAGGTCATGACTGTTAAATTTTGGCCGCCAAGTGTTTGAACAGTGACACATTCAACACACATTCCACCACTCACAGATGAGTATTGCAAGACGCACGCCTCACGGATGTTTGATAAAGGTTGTTTTTGATAGAACACGCGCACACACATATATATATATAATATATATTATACACATATGTCATATGTGTATGTATGTATGTATGTATGTATGTATGTATGGTATGTATGGTATGTATGTAATGTATGTAATGTATGTTATGTATGTTATGTATGCTATGTATGCTATGTATGCTATGTATGCTATGTATGCTATGTATGCTATGTATGCTATGTATGCTATGTATGCTATGTATGCTATGTATGCTATGTATGCTATGTATGCTATGTATGCTATGTATGCTATGTATGCTATGTATGCTATGTATGTATGTATGTATGTTATGTATGTTATGTATGTTATGTATGTTATGTATGTTATGTATGTTATGTATGTATGTATGTATGTATATGTATGTTATGTATGTTATGTATGTTATGTATGTTATGTATGTTATGTATGTTATGTATGTTATGTATGTTATGTATGTTATGTATGTTATGTATGTATATGTATGTTATGTATGTTATGTATGTTATGTATGTTATGTATGTTATGTATGTTATGTATGTTATGTATGTTATGTATGTTATGTATGTTATGTATGTTATGTATGTGTATGTATGTTATGTATGTTATGTATGTTATGTATGTTATGTATGTATGTATGTATGTTATGTATGTTATGTATGTTATGTATGTTATGTATGTTATGTATGTTATGTATGTTATGTATGTTATGTATGTTATGTATGTTATGTATGTTATGTATTTATGTTGTTATGTATGTTATGTATGTTATGTATGTTATGTGTTTGTTCTGTATGTTATGTATGTTATGTATGTTATGTATGTTAGTGTATGTTATGTATGTATGTATGTATGTTATGTATGTATGTATGTTATGGGAAAGTATTAAATGTTATGTAATGTATGTATGTAATGTATGTAATGTATGTAATGTATGTTATGTATGTTATGTATGTTATGTATGTTATGTATGTTATGTATGTTATGTATGTTATGTATGTTATGTATGTTATGTATGTTATGTATGTTATGTATGTTATGTATGTATGTATGTATGTATGATTGTATGATTGTATGATTGTATGATTGTATGATTGTATGATTGTATGATTGTATGATTGTATGATTGTATGATTGTATGATTGTATGATTGTATGATTGTATGATTGTATGATTGTATGATTGTATGATTGTATGATTGTATGATTGTATGTATGTATGATTGTATGATTGTATGATTGTATGTATGTAATGTATGTAATGTATGTAATGTATGTAATGTATGTAATGTATGTAATGTATGTAATGTATGTAATGTATGTAATGTATGTAATGTATGTAATGTATGTAATGTATGTAATGTATGTAATGTATGTAAGGTATGTAATGTATGTAATGTATGTAATGTATGTAAGGTATGCAATGTATGTAATGTATGTAATGTATGTAATGTATGTAATGTATGTAATGTATGTAATGTATGTAATGTATGTAATGTATGTATGGATGTAATGTATGTAATGTATGTAATGTATGTAATGTATGTAATGTATGTAATGTATGTAATGTATGTAATGTATGTAATGTATGTAATGTATGTAATGTATGTAATGTATGTAATGTATGTAATGTATGTAATGTAGTAATGTATGTAATGTATGTAATGTATGTAATGTATGTAATGTATGTAATGTATGTAATGTATGTAATGTATGTAATGTATGTAATGTATGTAATGTATGTAATGTATGTAATGTATGTAATGTATGTAATGTATGTAACCTATGTAACCTATGTAACCTATGTAACCTATGTAACCTATGTAATGTATGTAATGTATGTAATGTATGTAATGTATGTAATGTATGTAATGTATGTAATGTATGTAATGTATGTAATGTATGTAATGTATGTAATGTATGTAATGTATGTCATGTATGTAATGTATGTAATGTATGTAATGTATGTAATGTATGTAATGTATGTAATGTATGTAATGTATGTAATGTATGTAATGTATGTAATGTATGTAATGTATTAATGTATGTAATGTATGTAATGTATGTAATGTATGTAATGTATGTAATGTATGTAATGTATGTAATGTATGTAATGTATGTAATGTATGTAATGTAAGTAATGTATGTAATGTATGTAATGTATGTAATGTATGTAATGTTGTATGTATGTATGTATGTATGTATGTATGTATGTATGTATGTATGTATGTATGTATGTATGTATGTATGTATGTATGTATGTATGTATGTATGTATGTATGTATGTATGTATGTATGTATTTATGTAATGTATGTATGTATGTATGTATGTATGTATGTATGTATGTATGTATGTATGTATGTATGTATGTATGTATGTATGTATGTATGTATGTATGTATGTATGTATGTATGTATGTATGTATGTATGTATGTATGTATGTATGTATGTTATGTATGTTGTGTATGTTATATATATTATGTATGTTATGCATGTTATGCATGTTATGCATGTTATGTATGTTATGTATGTGATGTATGTTGTGTATGTTATGTATGTTATGTATGTTGTGTATGTTATGTATGTTATGTATGTGATGTGTGTTATGTATGTTATGTATGTTATGTATGTTATGTGTATGTGATGGTATGTGATGTATGTGATGCATGTGATGTATGTGATGTATGTGATGTATGTGATGTATGTGATGTATGTGATGTATGTGATGTATGTGATGAATGTGATGAATGTGATGTATGTGATGTATGTGATGTATGTGATGTATGTGATGTATGTGATGTATGTGATGTATGTGATGTATGTGATGTATGTGATGTATGTGATGTATGTTATGTATGTGATGTATGTGATGTATGTTATGTGAGTATGGATGTATGTTATGGTATGTTATGGTATGTAATGGTATGTAATGGTATGTAATGGTATGTAATGGTATGTTATGGTATGTTATGGTATGTAATGGTATGTTATGGTATGTTATGGTATGTTATGGTATGTTATGGTATGTTATGTTCTGGTATGTTCTGGTATGGTATGTTATGGTATGTTATGGTATGTTATGGTATGTTATGGTATGTTATGGTATGTTATGGTATGTTATGGTATGTTATGGTATGTTATGGTATGTTATGGTATGTTATGGTATGTTATGGTATGTTATGGTATGTTATGGGTATGTTATGGTATGTTCTGGTATGTTCTGGTATGTTATGGTATGTTATGGTATGTTATGGTATGTTATGGTATGTTATGGTATGTTATGGTATGTTATGGTATGTTATGGTATGTTATGGTATGTTATGGTATGTTATGGTATGTTATGGTATGTTATGGTATGTTATGGTATGTTATGGTATGTATGGTATGTTATGGTATGTAATGGTATGTAATGGTATGTAATGGTATGTAATGGTATGTAATGGTATGTAATGCATGTAATGCATGTAATGCATGTAATGCATGTAATGCATGTAATGCATGTAATGCATGTAATGCATGTAATGCATGTAATGCATGTACTGCATGTAGTGCATGTAGTGCATGTAGTGCATGTAATGCATGTAATGCATGTAATGTATGTAATGTATGTAATGTATGTATGTATGTAATGTAATGTAATGTAATGTAATGTAATGTAATGTAATGTAATGTATGTATGTATGTATGTGTATGTGTGTATGTGTGTATGTGTGTATGTGTGTATGTGTGTATGTATGTATTGTATTGTATTGTATTGTATTGTATTGTATTGTATTGTATGTATGTATGTATGTATGTATTGTTTGTATTGTATGTACTGTATGTATTGTATGTATTGTATGTATTGTATGTATTGTATGTATGTGTATGTATGTGTATGTATGTGTATGTATGTGTATGTATGTGTATGTATGTGTATGTATGTGTAGGTATGTGTATGTATGTGTATGTATGTGTATGTATGTGTATGTATGTGTATGTATGTGTATGTATGTGTATGTATGTGTATGTATGTGTATGTATGTGGATGTATGTGTATGTATGTGTATGTATGTGTATGTATGTGTATGTATGTGTATGTATGTGTATGTATGTGTATGTATGTGTATGTATGTGTATGTATGTGTATGTATGTGTATGTATGTGTATGTAGGTGTATGTATGTGTATGTATGTGTATGTATGTGTATGTATGTGTATGTATGTGTATGTATGTGTATGTATGTGTATGTATGTGTATGTACGTGTATGTATGTGTATGTATGTGTATGTATGTGTATGTATGTGTATGTATGTGTATGTATGTGTATGTATGTGTATGTATGTGTTTGTATGTGTATGTATGTGTATGTATGTGTATGTATGTGTATGTATGTGTATGTATGTGTATGTATGTGTATGTATGTGTATGTATGTGTATGTATGTGTATGTATGTGTATGTATGTGTATGTATGGGTATGTATGTGTATGTATGTGTATGTATGTGTATGTATGTGTATGTATGTGTATGTATGTGTATGTATGTGTATGTATGTGTATGTATGTGTATGTATGTGTATGTATGTGTATGTATGTGTATGTATGTGTATGTATGTGTATGTATGTGTGTGTATGTATGTGTGTGTGTATGTATGTATGTGTGTATGTATGTATGTATGTACGTACGTATGTATATGTATATGTATATATACATATGTATATATATATATTTATGTATGTATGTATGTATGTAGGTATGTATGTATATTTACTGTATGTACATATATATATATATATATTTACAAAAGTATATATACGTATATATATGTACTGTATATGATGTATTTACATGTGTATATGTATATATATGTATATATATGTTTATATATGTATATACACACTATATTCACTATATGCTTATAATATGTGTATATATATGTATATATATACACACTCTATATATATATATACAATATATATATATACACAATATCTGGAGATCGCATTCTCAGTTTTTTCAACTGTAGAGAAGCAGCGGATGTTCATTTTGCTGATTGTCCTCCTTGGAGAAGCCAGTTTTCCACTTTCGAATCGCATGAAATATTTCAACTTATTTGTTTATATTTGTTTCATTTTGTTTCCGTTGTTTGTCCGGTTGTGTTGGGTTTGGTAAGTAACACCAGGAGTTGTAGCTGCAAGAGGACTGAATATGTTTTGAATTGAATACAGTTCCCTTGGGCAGTCCCCAGGAATTTGTTAGTCTTTGCATTCCGCGAGTTCGCAAATGCACTTGCGCTTTGCCAACAGACGGGTCAGCAGATGCAATCGATGCTGGCAAAATATGGGAGGGATTTTCCCAGTTCCCGGGCTTGCAGAAGTGGTTACGATTCATGATGGCTTCATGCACAGCTTACGCTACTCATGCTTCTCCCCCATCTATGCCGCAGACCTCCAAATTGCGATCATGGGAATTACAACCTGGCACAATGTGGCACAACGTAAAAAAACAAACAGCTTCAGCACAATGCTTACAATGCTTACAATGCTTGATGCTCACATGAGTCTTCTGTTTGTGCAGGGCTTGGCGAGAGAGAACGTCAATCGCATTCTCTACAGTTGTGTCTTGTGTTTCACACAACAGGGCTGCATTTATCACTTCACCTTCCTTCAAGCTTGGAGGCGTACTGGATTCTCGCTCTTCCAGAACACTTTCAGGAGAAACCAAACTGGTAGTGCTTGAGCACTTTCCAACTTGAAGCTTGAGCAAGTGTAGCTGAGCAAGATTGCTATTCAGGAGGCAGTTCTCAAAGAATGTCCAGCGATGGTTGTTCCTTGGCAATCTACTTAGCGGATGAGGAACAAGCTGACAATGTCTAGCCAAATAAAGCACAGATGAGATGTTGAACATTTGCAATCGGTCGTGAACAAACACACTGAAATCATCTTCCAGATTCCAGAGCAATTTTGCCTCAAGGTCCTTGCGTATTTTGTGGGTGCAGAATCGAAGATGTACACAGAGCCACCTATGGCTGCCGAGCTGTCCAACATCGGCTTCAGCTTGCTTCAAAGGCTGATGATTTACGTGTCAGTGAGTAAAAGAGTCTTACGAGTCTTACACTGCAAAGCTTTGAAGGCCATCTAGGCCATACTTCTATCATCTTCTATCTCTTCTCTCTTACATTATTGACCTGTCCTGGTGATCGAAAGGATGGAGAGAAGGACGCAGGATTTGATCCGGGAGTTCTCGCCTAAGCTGCTTCAGGCTGCAGCTTCCGTGTGCCATACTGTGCGATACTGTGCCGTCAAGGTCTTGGCCCATTGATGCAGCGCTCAACCGGATCAAGGCTGTTCAAGAATCTATCCAAAGGCTTGGTATGTTTGAACACGGAAAAACACTGGAAACGTTTGGAAGCACCCACCTCTGGTGATGGATTACAAACATCGGGGGAAGGACTTCAGTCTGTTGCCCCTTCAAATTCTAAAAGCAATCGGAAATGAAACCTCTCGCTGGCTCTGTTGCCTAAAACAAATATGACTAAACAGGTACTGTATGACTTGGTATGACTTGGTATGACTGCATCTGAGTTCTGCTTTCAGAGACGGCAACTCCTTGGCATTCCTTGGCAGGCTCAAAGAGACTCCATTGCCCTCAGCTGGACTCCTCGACTTGGTCTTGGCATATTGTAAAGAGGAGCGTTACACCGGTGGAAAACATATTTCATCAATTTCATCAATTTCATCAATACTTTGACAATCTTTGATATACATTGATATACCGATATAGACGTGCACTTTGGCATTTCGATTACTGATGTTGCCATGCGTTTGTGGAGCGAAGTCAGGACTTGCAATGGTTGCAAGTGGCCTTGCCCCAGTGGCTACAAGGCCTGAGACGCTGAATACAGTGAACCCAGGACGACTCAGGACGACGTGCATTCACTGCATGTGGCTGGACCCTTTGCCGATGGGCCTTTTAGAACAACAAGTCAGCCTTTTGCAGAGTTTCAGTGTGGTTCAATGCAGCATTGTTCCAGTGTGTTCACTTACCTTTAGCGATTTTAGCGCTTATTTGAGAGTCTTGAATGCAGGGCCTACCCGCCTCTTCATATACGAGAAGTAGCAAAGCTCAGAGTCAAACGGAGTGACTTGACTCATGCACATACTACACTATCACTCCACAGACTCCAGCGGAAGTAACCAGAAGCGATCGGCAGTGCTGTGCAAAGTTCACAAAGTACAGCTGGGCTTCAGGTGCGGGCAGGCAGCCGAGCTGGGAAGTCTGCCAGCGCACATCAAGGCCGACACATGGTTTGTTCACGTCTGTTCACGGTCTGTTCTACTGCTGATACAATGCTCATACAATCCATCAATATACCGTTAAGATATGTTAAGATAAAGTATTTTGTCCTGTCTCACTGTGTGGCATTTGTCCCATTCTGAGCTTGCAAGTTCTGCAAAGTCTTGTCAAGACATCTGTCACATGTGCTGAGGTGCTGCGTGAGTCCAGTCCCCAGGTACCTGCCAGGTACTTCAGCTTTTCTGCACGTGGCGAGTCACTAAAGCTTTAACTTGAGGCAAGTAGTCGATGGGCCACCAGGCTGGGATCAAGAATGTATATGCCGTGTATATGCTTCATCAAAATTGATTCATATTAGAGACCCATTAGCCCATTATGGTCACAGGAAGAACAACTGTAGGCCAGTCAATTCTTCAGGTGGCCTGGAAAAACATACGTATTCTGTCATTCACAAGATTTCTTCTTGCTTCGAAACATCATAATATTCCGAACATATGCTCTACAGTGAATCTTCTTTTCATTGTGCCTCTTCCTTCGTCTGGACAAGTGCACAAAGAGGCAATACTTTGTTATGACATGGTTGGGAAGCACTTTTTGCTCGCGACGTTCCGGTTTACAATGTACTTTGAGCCCACTTACACAACAGAACTAGTTGCTCTTGTTGTCATAAACCCGAGGTTTCCGTTCAGCAACCATCAAGTCGCTGCAGTTTGGTCCCAGGATTTTTGACAGATATATCAACGAACACCAAGAGGTGGAGAGATATCCTGTATGTAAAGGAAAATGGAAGCAGCAGAAATATGGAAAGGAGCTCACGAAGCAAAACCGTTTGAATGACTCGGTGATGGAACATGTTTGAATGGCCCTGGAACGAGAGCTGGACGCGCACTTTTTACATCCCTTTGCCGTGCAGACCACAGAATGCAAGAAATGCAGGCAACAGAGTGAGCGGCTGCCGCCAAGGCTTTTTTGTGGCGCAAACAATTTCGCATGACTTTGCCCTGCATGTGTGCCGCAGGTGGACGGAAAGATGAATGCAGCGCATATTTGACTCACCTATCCAAGATTGTGACCAAAGACGTCGCTCTCTACACGCTGTTTCTGCAGGCTAGGTTTGAAAGTGTTTCTGCAAGAAAGGAAATCAAGCAGCGTTAGATCATCCGGATCGTGCATGATTGTCCTAGATTCCTCGATCTGAATTTCATTCATTTTCATTCTTCAAGTCTTTGGCGTGAGCAGCAAAATGTGTGCTTGCACCACCTTGCAGGCAGATGCGCTGAACCATGTGTGGCCATACTACTTGCACTTGGTCATGAGAACTATGCAGGCTGTGCACCCGTTCTTTGCACCCAGTTGCCTCGCCAGTTGACCAAATGAAAGCCGTGAAGTTTACAATGAGATTACATGGCTCCAATTTGCTCCAATCTTGTCCAATTCTATTTAGGTGAAATTCTGCACATGGGCATCTCCTTCCATTTGCACAGTGTTGTTCCTGTAATATACTTGTACTTTCCACATCTTTGCACATCGTTACAGTAATCTTTACACTGTTACACTTTCATACTACTCGTACAGTGGAATCGGTCTGGATCTTTGTGGATCAAGTGGAACAACCCTCAGTCAGACCCCTGTCACTTTTGCGATCTGCAGTAAAAGTTGTAACCCTTTTCACCGTGATCTGTTCCAGCTCCGGTCTCTGGATGTGGCCTTTTTGCACCTGGGGCAGTCGCGCATGGTTGCAGACTCAGGGGAGTGGGCACGAAACAGAAAAATCATGAAAAGAGGACAGGTAGCTGTGCCGGCAGCCCGGCAACCCACATTCGGAACTGCCTGGGTGCTCCTGCTTTGATTATTTTTCGGCTAGCAAAAACAGAGAGGTCCTGTGTGATTTTCTGGAAGCGAACACAAGGTCGCATCCACATCAGAGTGCAAGCGAGCCATTTTCAAACAGGAACAGCGCTTAGTTTGTGTTCAAGCTGACCAGTCAAATCACTTCTTTGGAAGGTACAATGACGGGAAGTACATATGATATATCGACGATATACATATATATATATATACATATATATATATATACATATATATACATATATATATACATATATATATATACATATATATATACATATATACATATAAATATAATATATATATAGGTAGTGATGAATAATACCGTACCCCCAGTCCCGGCTTTGCTGTCATCACTTCTCCTTGAAACTTGAGCATTCAACTTTCTGCATCCTTTGCATTTTAAGATTTCCTGTGCTGATTTCATGTTCAGTTTTACTTTCTGGAAGAAAGGGCTATTGACGGCTATTGATTAATTACTTCCAAAGGAAGGCAACAAGACAAGTACCGTGGGACTACTGTGTCCGAGACACGAAGCACTGAGATGTAGGCCGCTGCAGAAAAATGACTGAGAAGAAAAACATGGAAGATAGTGACTGTGACATATTTGGGATGCGAAAGGTTGAAAGGTTGCCCATTCTGGTTTCCCTCTAGCGCATTGAACGGTAGTGTAGCAATATTGACTTACCAGTCTCAGATGTACATCAGGAAGAAAATATGCCTGCAGCATCACGGGGAAGTCCTTTTTTCTCAACGCCAAGCCAATGAGAAAAAAAATCTACATGCCCAGACATACGGGTTGGCTCTTCTGTTCATTTAACGACTGTATTGCTTCGTCATTTGATCAGTGAACCAGCTTCCTTTTTACAGGTCTTGGGCCGTGAGCAACGGCAAATGGCCACTGGCTACTGCTGTGCAAGCCGCAGATTAAAGTTCAGACGCGTGCAACGGACAAAGACTGAGTGGAAAGCACCAGATGTTTCTTCACCGTCTTCCTTAGTCAAGCCCTGATTTTAGGTGCCCAATTCTTGGTCCGGCAGGAACTTGGCATTTTATTGTGTGGTACTGTTGAGAGTTGAGCAAGGCACACGGGACATGGTAGATGAGATGGAAACCGTAGCACTTTCGTTGGGCTTTAGCTGGGACTTCTGATTCTTTTTCTCCTGGCAGCGTCATTTGTTTTGCCGTTGAGCAAATTGGACTGAGCTTCCTTCTGCCAAGTTCTTTTCTACTTTGCTTCCTGTCCCCAGGATTTGATTCTTGGAAACAGAGAAGTTTGGCCTCGTGCATTGAAGGCGAGTGGTCGCAAGGATGAGAGGAAACTACTCTAAGCATCTCTAAGCTTCAAAAGATGCCTTTTGGATCCTTTTGGCCTTTGATCATCACTGGATTCTTCGATATTCTTTGACGTCCATAACACGTTTTGTTCCGCTGTTGCTGAGGCTATGGACGAGCCTCTCCCTGTTGGCTGTGAGCATGTGAGGTCCAAAATTTTGACGCAGGCGGTGCAGGTTCGATGCAGTTTGACTGCTGCAACGCCTTCGAAGGCGTGGTTCTGGCATGCACTGCCTTGTGTTCGAATCCATTTGGCACGCAATGTTCCCTGGCGGAATTAAAAACGGTTGGATCGTTTTGGTTGTCTTTTCTTTCGCATATTTAAAGGCTTACGCCTGACAGCCGGGCGCCGGCCAAGCAATCTTGGCACCATGTTGGCCCTATGTTGGGCCTATGTTGGCCTATGTTGGGCCTATGTTGGCCCATGTTGAGCCATCTTGGGAGCTATGTTGGGGCCATGTTTGGGCCATCTATGTTGAAACGATCTTAAGATGCCAATTTTTCTGCCCCGGGCCCCCTCCTGGAGCCCAAAACCACGTAAAAACCGGCGTCTTGCAACATCCCCAAGATGAAATCCCTTGCCGCCGAAGGGCCCGAAACACCGTAAAAAACGATGTTCTTGAACATCGCAAGCACATGCAAGCACAATACCCCGTAAATTACAGGGGCTTCAGTTGACACGGAGTCGGTCGGGGGTGAACCGGGGGTGAGTCGGCGGCAAGGGGCACAGCGCCTATTCCGGCCAGGGGCCCGCCGCTGGCCATGTCCTTGCCGTACGGCATTCTCTCCTCTCCGTAGGAGAGAGGGGCTGCACCCCCTGCCGCCGAACACCCCCCCCGCCAATGCGCTCTTCCCATTTTTTCCCAATTTTTCGGATCTTGTGGCTCAAGATGGGTCAGCATGGGCCAACATAGCCCTCAAGATGGACCAACATAGCCTCAAGATGGGCCAACATAGCCCCCAAGATGGGCCAACATAGCCCCAAGATGGGCCAACATAGCTCCAAGATGGGCCAACATAGCCCCAAGATGAGCTAACATAGCCCCAAGATGGGCCCACATTGCCCTCAAGATAGGCCAACATAGCCCCAAGATGGGCCACCATAGCCCCAAGATAGGCCGCCGACCGTCAAACTCCTGCGTTTTACAGTGTTTTTTTGCTGTTCCCATTTTTCGGCTCTTTCGGCTCAACATGGGTCAATATGAGGCCAACATAGGCCAACATAGCCACAAGATGGGCCAACATAGTTGGGCCCCTGGCCGGCTGTCGCGTGTAAGCGCTTAAATACCTTTGGTTACCAGCGAAGGCCTAACGGCAAGGACACGGGCTCCGGGAAGGAAAAATTGGCATCTTAAGATCGTTTTAACATATATAGATGGCCCAAACATGGCCCCAACATAGCTCCCAAAACATAGGCCAACATGGGCCCAACATAGGCCCAACATGGGCCCAAGATGAGCCCAACATAGCCCAACATAGGCCCAACCTGGACCAATATAGGCCCAAGATGGGCCCGATGGCTCAACATGGGCCCGACTTGGCCCAACATTGGCACAACCTGCGCTCAAAATAGGCCCAGACTGCTTCCATACAGGCAAGCACTGCGCATTATGCCTGCCTCAGTTCAACATAGCCCTCCCTGGGTTTGCGCGGAGAATCTCGGCCCAAATATCCCACACCATAAGCCAAAAGTCATTGCTTGGCCGGCGCCCGGCTGTCAGGCGTAAGCCTTTAAATAACCTTCGGTTACCACCGAAGGCCTCCGGCAAGGACACGGGCTGCGTGGCTGGCGCCCGGATTTAAAGGCTTACCCCTGACAGCCGGGCGCCGGCCAAGCAATCTTGGCACCATGTTGGCCCTATGTTGGGCCTATGTTGGCATATGTTGGACCGACGTGTGACCAGTACTGCCGGCTATAGCAACTATCCCGTCACAGCATACATCCCTACTGCTGCCGACGCCGGAAAACAATTCACGGACATTGGATCATTGATTGATGTATCGTATCTTCTGATCAACTGAAATATATTGCTGCTGTTGTTGTTGTTGTTGTTGTCGTCGTCGTCGTCGTCGTCGTCGTCGTCGTTATTGTTGTTGTTGTTGTTGTTGTTGTTGTTGTTGTTGTTGTTGTTGTGGTCGTCGTTGTCGTTGTCGTTGTCGTTGTCGTTGTCGTTGTCGTTGTCGTTGTCGTTGTTGTTGTGGTGGTGGTGGTGGTCGTCGTCGTCGTCGTCGTGGTTGTTGTCGTTGTTGTTGTCGTCGTCGTGGTTGTTGTCGTTGTTGTTGTCGTCGTCGTGGTTGTTGTCGTTGTTGTTGTCGTCGTGGTTGTTGTCGTTGTCGTTGTCGTTGTCGTTGTCGTTGTCGTTGTTGTTGTTGTTGTTGTCGTCGTCGTGGTTGTTGTTGTTGTTGTCGTTGTTGTTGTTGTTGTTGCTGTTGGTGTTGGTGTTGGTGTTGGTGTTGTTGTTGGTGTTGGTGTTGGTGTTGTTGTTGTTGCTGCTGCTGCTGCTTGTATCCGAATGTTTTTTCCCTTACGCGCTCCCTCTTGCGTCGGCCGGGGTCGGCGGATATACTAAGACTAAGATTTTATTTCCTGCCCACTTTAGGATGGTATCAATGTTTAGGAAGGAACCATGATGTTTACTGTTTCTTGTTGTTTCGCTGCTGTTGCTGTAGCGTATTCACATGTATTCACCTCAGGTTTGGTTTTCCAGAGTCCTTCACTCCACGAGCAGAAGACGTCACTCTTCCATCCTGCTTAAGGAAAGCCTCTTTGTCAAGTGCAATCAGTGCAATCAATGATTTGGACTTAATGAGTTGTTATCTTGATCCTCCTGCATTGCCAAGAGGATTCCAGAGACTGATGAAAGTGATTTGCCAGACGGACTTCGCTCTACGCGGTGTTCTCAGTGTCAAATGGAAGTTGTGGCTGTGACGAAGCGCCACATGAAGCGCTGGCAGACTGCAAGGTTTTATTTGGAGAGGGCAACAGGCCGAAACTTAGTGGAGAGCCTGCACGGAATCTGCACTGAGCCACAATGCGTCGTGTTCAGGCGATGATGACATTTCCTGGCTCGAGAAGCTGATGGCAAAGGCTCCAGCTGCTCAGACAGATTGGACCAAAAATGAATACGAGATCACGAGAGTTGAACATCTTTGAAACAGTTTGCCCACTTTTTGACGCTTCGACCATCATTTTTAACTTGTCGAGTCGCGCCAAATCTTTGTTGAGCCGAATGCAATCGAAGGAGTCCGAGGACATGTCTGGAGCCAGGTGCGGCGTGCTGCAATGTGCAGATACAGATGATACAGGGAAAGAGCATCATGCAAGATCTTTCAGTACACAGCACGTTCTTTTTTCCCTGCGTTGTGGCATGATTCCTCAAAGAAAGAGCAGTGTTTCAGATCTGCAATTTGTAACGAAGGAGCCTTGGCTATGTTGGATGGGATCAGGCCACAAAGTGAAATGGCCAGTCGAAACCCATCAATTCCACATTATTGTACATAGACGCGCGTGGAAAAAAATGAAAAGGACACAAATTCGCATCAAGTCGGGTGGCACAGGGTTGTAGAGTCTTGTCGACAGAGGTTAGGCATCTTGCAGACTTCAAGTCCTTGTTCGCCTTCGAGAACGTGCTTTCACTTGTTTGCTAAGGTGTTATCACATTTTGTAACTCTGCAATTAGTGCAGGATAGCATAGGATAGTGCAAACATGTCGCTTTTTGATGATTTTTGCAACCGCGTTTCGGCTGGAAGAATTCAGTGCCAACGTGGCCTGTGCATCGCTGCAGGCACCCAACTTGCACTGCCTCAGCAGTTTCTTAGACAGCTTGTTATTTTGTCATTTTTTCATGTAATGGCCAAAGAGTACCTACTGGGGACATTGGAGGAGCCTTGGTTATTTGGGCCGTTATGCTGAGTAGCCCGGACTGGGCTGGAGATTTTCGTAGATTGATCGTCTTTTAACATTGCTATATGCGCAGGTCTGTGATGGGGGTCAAGCAGCCGTGTTTGAGACACACGCGCAAACTGCTAAGCACTGCTAATTCAGAGACACATTCATCACATATATCACATTTCCAACTGCGAATTCAGTTCGGTTGTGTGCGACTCTGACTTGCAACTTGAGAAAGCACTCAGTGTATGTTCTTGCACTGGAACACTGCTTGGCAGCCCAAATCAAAGAAGAAGGATCCCAATGCTCCGACACTGTTGCCCGAGGAATCCAAGTCATCAAAACATATGATGGAAACGAAGGCAAACTTCCCAAACTACTTCTTTTCCGATGTGTTCTATGTCACGTGTATGTCGTTGTGTATATTGTGTACATATATTGTGTATATATTGTGTATATTGTGTATGCACACAATTGTGCCATGGCATGTTATCATCCCGTTGGCTCCAGGACACATACTTGAGAGCAAAGAAGCTGATAGAACTGACCAAGGACAGAGAGCATTCAAGCTGATAGAGCTGATTGAAGAATCCGCCATCATGTTTCATGGTGTTTCAGCCCGGAATTGGGCAATGCTTGATCCACAGTTGGTTATTTGCATGTGGGTATCCATGTGGCTATGCACAAACGCTGTTCCATAGGGTTTGCATTTGCCTTGCAGTTGCCGTTTCCTTTCCGTCCAAGCACTTGTTGGATCTTGTTGGCTTCATGCTGGCCTGTTCCATCCTGTTCCAAAAATTGGTGCTCTTTTGTGCGACTTCCGTAGTCTCCCAGACTGGTCTGTCCCTCTCCCAATATGAGGGCCTGTGTTTGCTCCTCTGTGACACAGGTTAGTGGCATATCAGTGCTCATAGCCAATAGTTTCTGGTTTCTGTTTTTGGGGTTTCAGTGGTGCAACTCTGCCGTCCACGAATTGGTACGGACAGGGCCAAATGAAGCAGCCAAAAGGAGAGCTGACCCAGGAAGAGTGGTGCAACCCTTGGGATGGCAATGGCTTTGCTATGCGAAGTGGGTTTGATCATGATGTAGTGACGTACGATGATGTATGTTGTGTCAGTGTCTTCTGTTTCAACCCAAGTCCAAGATATGATTTATCATTCTGATTTCCACATTGCAGCCATCTAAAAATGCACCTGCCTTTTGACAGGAACAAGCATTTTTACTGGGGCTGCTGGGGAAGGTTTTCGTGCTGCTCTCCGGGGAGTACAGCAGGTGAACATATTAGGAAAGGTTTGACTTATCTTAAGAGTGCGTTGTCGTCTATGTCTGCCTGCGTACTGGTGGTGAGCGCCCAAGCTAGGTGGTTTTCCTTTGCTTTAGTCACTTTAGTCGCAGGGTGTGATAAGCTTCATGGCACCGGAACGGGTCAACTTTGTCCTTTCGTACTCCCAACCACGACGTGGTTTGGTCTAGCAGCTAGGAAGGCCAACTTCAAAATAGTTTTTCCTGGCCACAAATGCATGGACCATGGAAGTTCATGGAAGTTCAGTCGGCCGTGATCTTGTAAGTATAAGCCACGCAGGGGGATTCATGGCGTTTTGTGACAAGCCGAGGGATGTAGCGCATGTGAACCGCAAACACAACATAGCAGTCGCGCGCAGTTCCTCAAAATGTCAGGCACCTCTTAGGCCTCGCTTCAGAGCCTCCAGAGCCGAATTGTGAGTTGATCATAGTTGGTCTATGTTGGTCTCAGACTGAGCCGATGAGCCGAGGTGCATTCCGCCTGGCTTTCATTCAACTCCAGAGCTTTTGCCTCAGAAACCAATTGGCGATAGGCATCGGACATGCACTAAAACGAAAACTGGCAGCGTGAGAGTTTTACGGACCACACCCGAGCTCATCCCCGTAACTGCAGGGGTGGGGTAGTGGCCCGCCTGTCCACCTAGTGTTGCACCCGGGTTGCAAGCAAAGGACAATTCAGGTTCTAATCGCGCACATGTGCACAGTATTCCGTATACCTTATGCATGATTCGGATGGAAAAAGAACGGATGGAATGGAATGGAATCGAATGGAACGGAATGAAATGACATGATGACATGATGAGATGATGGCATGATGACACGACGGCATGATGGCGTGACGTGACGTGACGTGACGTGACGTGACGTGACGGGACGGGACGGGACGGGACGGGACGGGACGGGACGGGACGGGACGGGACGGGACGGGACGGGATGGGACGGGACGGGACGGGACGGGACGGGAGGGAACGTGACGTGACGTGACGTGAAATGAATGATATGAATGATATGAATGATATGAATGATATGAACGAATGAATGAATGGTACAGAGAATGGTCTTTGCTTCTCCATGCATACAAATGTCTCCCCATCATTGTCCTGTGAGTAGCGAGATTGGAAGGGAGAAGTGGGCAGTCGAATGCAGTTGATCAGTAAAGTGAGCTGCACCGAAACTAGTGTTCTCGTTGTGCTCTCACTCCACACAGGTGAGAGGAGTACCGCGCAGATACACACGGCTGCTTCTATATTTTAATGTGTTTGATGCACACCAGCTAGGCATTCACTGTTCTTCTCTGGGGTTGAGACAGCAGACAGTGGGATACAACTCCCTTGGGGTTACTCTGCGTGGAGTTCTCGCACTATGCGCAGTTCCCAACTCAATCGCCACGTGGTGACACCAATCTCTACAAGAAAGCACCATGGGCTGCTAGATTTTTTGCCGTCTCTATCTCTATTGCTTGCAAGGCTGCTTGTGTTGCTGGCTGTAGTAGTTGTGTTCCAACGGTATTTCAGTCCAAGCATGCTTGAAAGTTCTGCTCTTCTATTTGGCATTGGAGTCTACTACTAGTGCTCATATGATTTATTACTGCAACAATCGAAACTATGAATCTCATGTAAATGTAAACAGTGAACCACGCAGCACATTTCGTTCTTGCACGGCATGTGAAGCATGATCCACACAGAACCTCGCTTGGGCACATGTACATTTTCTGGCCATGGCAAAGTACACTTGTACTTGTACCTGCTGAATCTGGTGGTTGCAAATGCTTGGAACGCCTTTGGACTTCTTTGCGCAAGGTTGAAAGAAACCATCAAATTCTGGCAGAAGTGTGCTATAGTTCAACACACTGAGCGAGGAATGAAGGCGGGTGACCAATGAGATTCAGAGACGGAATATGACGGAATCGTGTCACAAAGAGATGGTGGGGCGAGTGCAGTTTTTGAAACCTTGGCATCCTTGGCTTGTCAGAATTCATTTGGTAATTTTGGTAGGTGCCAAGCAGAATGAAGACGCTTGAAGATCCGAGTTCCTCGAACGCAATCAAACACGGACTAGCAAAGCTGCACTTGTGAAACCGGCTGAGGCAAGTGCGCAAAGAAAACGTACCCAAGAAAAGAGGTCCAAGACCTGTTCAAGTTCATAAAGACTATGAATAAGCAGGCTGCTTGCAACTGCTTGCGATTGCTCTGAATCCTGCAAACGAAACGTTGAGGAAGCTTGATAAACTGCTTGGCTCATCTGATTTTTTCAGGCTACAAAGAGAACAGGACAGTTCCTGAAGCAGCTAGAGAAAAAGGAGGCCAGATAATTACTCAGATAGCGGAAGTTTCTTTGAGTACTCATATGTACACACTATCAAACAGATTACGTCAGGGAAAGGAGACAAAGCGCGAGACCCTCCTGAAGCAGGTTAAGGATGTGGATGAACTTATGAACGAGGAGCACATTTTAGCCTGTGGGAATTGTTGAAGCCATTTAAAGAAATTCCTCCTGATGTTTGATGTATGTTCGCATCACCGATGGACTCACTCAAGACATTGTTTTGACGTGTTTATCACAACTTCGCAGATGGTTTGCGGAGAATCACATATTCCGAAGGGGATGTATCACATGCATGTGCGAACGCACACACACACACACACCATACTTGTCGCTGTCTTTCTATCGCACGCTTGTCGATGCATTTACACCCCCTAGCGTTTGGTGCACATGCATTCTACTTATAATTCTTTCATATTCTTTCATCTTTTTTCATGTTTTTTCATTTTCTTTTCATTTTCTTTTCATTTTCTTTTTATTTTCTTTTCATTTTCTTTTTATTTTCTTTTCATGTTCTTTCCATTTTTTCCCGAGAGCGTCTGAGCGAAGGCTTCTTCTAAAAGTGGAGGTCTGCTATACATCTTCACATGTTCACATCTTCATCACATCTTCATACCTTTACATCATCACTGGTCCAGAGGTGGTGCTGTTGCTGTTACTGTTGCTGCTACTGTTGGTGTTGCTGTTGCTGTTGTTCCTGTAGCTCTTCTTCTTCTTCTTCTTTTTCTTCTTCTTCTTTTTCTTCTTCTTCTTCTTCTTCTTCTTCAGCGTCCTCCTCCTTTTCTTCTTCTTAACGCTCTGTCTGCGCTTTGAGCAATCTGAGCGCGTTCAAAACATAGAGCAAATGGAATACTCGAGAAACTATGCGTACAATGTGCAGTAGCGGCTGCAAAAACTACAATGTATCCAAACAATCGAGATGTCTTGACGGAAAGTGCTGGGCACCTTTTTCCGCATGCGGATGTGTGCCTTTCTTCGCTCCTTGCCAGGAGCTGCGGAATGCCCGCAAGTTTGTCGAACGTCAAGAACTTTTTGAAAAGAAATACATGATTGGCTCAAAGCTGGGAGAGCAGGCCCCTGGAACCACCTGTACTCCACCGTTCCACACTTGCGTTGCCAATTTGGAATTTTCATGAATCATAATTCATAATCATTATATAAGTCAGATCAGCCGAAATCATCTCATTGTGCTGTTTTCCTACTGGTAGTAGGAATTCAGTCGGGTCCGCTGGCCAAGGGGCCTAAAAAGAATGCTCTCATTTTGATCGAGCAGTCGGACATTCAGATGGCCTGGGTGGATGAGGCATGGCAAAGATTTGCCAACCTTGACTTTCCTTTTTCGAGAAAGAAACTTGATGACACATACGTAGAGATGAAAACAATTTTGATTCTTTCTTAATGCTGCATGTTTAGATATATGATTTCCAACAAAGGCCATTTGCGCGCCGTTTGGCTCAAGCCAACACCATCTGAGGGGGGGGGTCTAGAGGCCTCTGGCCCGTGAGCTCGGGTGGTCAAGATGGTCCCCGGCTTGGGAGCAGTGTGTTGAATGCAAGGATTGAAACGATCTGAAGATATTGAAACCTCTCAGATCTGAAGATCTCGCAGCCAGTTTCAGTGTGTTTGGCATTTCTTCAAACGCTTTTTGCAGATCGGCCATGATCGGCCGACATTGAGTGAAATCCTGTAGCATCACTAGTGTCGCACCTATACCATCCTATACCTTTTTTCTCCTTTTTTCGTGGAGACTTTCAAAGTCCTTTCCATTCTAGTTATTGGCTTTCCTTTCGTATCCATGCTACCTTCTTGGGCACATCTCGCTTGGGCAGTTTTGCTACGTATATATATATATATACACATAATTTAATGTAACATGTATATATATATATATAATATACAGATACGTACATATAATAATGTATATATATATATATACAGATCGGCCCAGATTGCCAAAAAAGTTTTGCTCGATTGACATTGAATGCAAACGTCCTGCAAGTATTTGTACGATTTTGTACGTACTGATGGAGAATCTGCCGTTCTTGAAGTCTAGCGCACTCCAATTCCAACACTCGGCAGATGTTTTGAGTCTCTTAAGTTAAGAGAACAGAGCTGCAAATATGATTGATACAGGCGGAATTCAACATCAGACCAGAGTCCACCAGAACAAGATGCTTGCACAAAGCCACAGAATTCATGCGACCTCGGACTGCCCATCTATTGAGGCGATGGGCAAGATGACGCTGAAGGAAGTGGACGTGAGGGACAAGCGGGTACGACACTGCAGAGCTCATAGATTCTGAGGAAATTGGAGGAATGTATGAAATAACTTCGAATAACTTGAATCTGATGCTCTTCTGCAACACCTCCTTGGATGCAGTGTGTGTTTGTGTCAGCTCACTTTTACTGTAATTGTACAGTGCAGGTATTGATCCGGGTTGACTTCAATGTGCCCCAGGAGTTCTACACTGCTGCTTGAACTTTGAACCATTTGTTGACAGTCTTGTGCATGTACTGTACTGGTTTTTACGTCACAGGGAGATCGTCAAATCAATGTCTCCAAGTCTCAGATGACGCTCATCGCGGCTCATGTTTGAAGTGTGCACCCAGCTTCTCGCAGGACAAGAATGATCCGAGTGTCATCACGAATACTCAGCGCATCGACGGGGCCTCCTGTCCAAAATCTATAGAAGAGAGTATCAGTTGTGTATTGGGCCTAGGTAGCTGCGATTCATGCAAGTAAAAGGAGTTACGAATATACTCTCAACCTCACTCAGTTTAATTTTTTTTTACCAGGAGGACCAGTGTGAGTGGATAGAATGGTTAGAGCAGTGTTGCTGAGAATTGCATGACCCGTGATTTTGTTGCTGAAGAGCGGTGCCGCTGAGAATTGCATGACCTGTGATTTTGTTGCTGAGTTGAAGACTGATTAAGCTTGGTGAAAGACGCGAACTGCTGGATACAAGAAATGAGTACTTTTTTTGTTTTGAAACTGTGACTGCCATACATCAATTCAGGCTATGCCAACGATTCGACATTGCCTGAAGAAGGGTGCCAAGTCCGTGGTGCTTTGACCGGTGCTCAGAACATCTTGTAGAATGTCAGATCTTTCTTTCCCCGGTCTTCTGATCTGTCAAGCAATCATTCTACCACAACCCTGACCTGAGGTTCACACCTGGGCAGACCAGATGGCCAAGTTGTGGAGTACTTCCAATATGTTTAATCGATTTGAGATTCATATATATTCAAAGGAAGTTTAGGGGGAGAAATTTTCGTGTTACGGACTTTTAGAATGTCAGGGAAAGAGTTAGTCAAAGAAAGAGTTAGCAAAGAAAGAGTTAGTCAAAGAAACAGTTAGTCAAAGAAAGAGTTAGCAAAGAAAGAGTTAGTCAAAGAAAGAGTCAGCCAAAGAAACAGTTAGTCAGGGAAAGAGTTAGTCAAAGAAAGAGTTAGTGAGGGAAAGAGTTAGTCAAAGAAAGAGTTAGCAAAGAAACAGTTAGTCAGGGAAAGAGTCAGTCAAAGAAACAGTTAGTGAGGGAAAGAGTTAGTCAAAGAAAGAGTTAGTGAGGGAAAGAGTTCGTCAAAGAAAGAGTTAGTCAGGATATATGAGGTAGTCAAAGAAAGAGTTAGTCAAAGAAAGAGCAAAGAAAGAGTTCGTTAGGGAACGAGTTAGTCAAAGAAATTGTTCCCGCAATGTAAATGGGCTTGCAAGTGGTGCTGGTGGATGAGTTGCCGATGGAGTTTTGAAGGAAGTCTCGCACGAAATGCGTTTTTGAGAGATAGCAGATGCACGAAACCCTGTGTTTTTCCATACAAAGTCCGTCCCCGAACGCCGATGATCTACCTCTGCGGTGCGACGGGTGCGAGACGGTCTCGTGTGTGGTCGGATGATGGTCGGATCATTCTCGGATCGGTTCCGCATTGTAAATGGGGTTTCAAGTGTTTTTCGTGCATGTGCGGTCGACAGAATTCCATTGTGATTTGCAACTGTAGGATCGTTCCCGCAATCTAAATGGGATTGCAAGTGGTGCTGGTGGATGAGTTGCCGATGGAGTTTTGAAGGAAGTCTCGCACGAAATGCGTTTTTGAGAGATAGCAGATGCACGAAACCCTATGTTTTTCCATACAATTGCCGTCTCCGAACCTCGATGACCTACCTCTGCGGTGCGACGGGTGCGAGACGGTCTCGTGTGTGGTCGGATCATGCTCGGATCATGGTCGGATCGGTTCCGCATTGTAAATGGGATTTCAACTGTTTTTCGTGCATGTGCGGTCGACAGAATTCCATTGTGATTTGCAACTGTAGGATCGTTCCCGCAATGTAAATGGGATTGCAAGTGGTGCTGGTGGATGAGTTGCCGATGGAGTTTTGAAGGAAGTCTCGCACGAAATGCGTTTTTGAGAGATAGTAGATGCACGAAACCCTGTGTTTTTCCATACAAAGTCCGTCCCCGAACGCCGATGATCTACCTCTGCGGTGCGACGGGTGCGAGACGGTCTCGTGTGTGGTCGGATCATGGTCGGATCATGGTCGGATCATGGTCGGATCATGGTCGGATCGGTCTCGGATCGGTTCCGCATTGTAAATGGGGTTTCAACTGTGTTTCGTCTATGTGCGGTCGACAGAATTCCATTGTGAATTGCAACTGTAGGATCGTTCCCGCAATGTAAATGGGATTGCAAGTGGTGCTGGTGGATGAGTTGCCGATGGAGTTTTGAAGGAAGTCTCGCACGAAATGCGTTTTTTTCTCCATTTTGGCGCTAGTGATTTTCCTTTTAAAAATCCTTTTAAAAAGTGCTTCAAAATCGTTTTTTTTTTGCTCTGGCGTCGAGATCCGGTTTTGGAGCTACAATTTCCGACGCCGTTGCGCGTAGTTCTATTGTGTTTTGCAACTCAGTCTCCGCAGATCGCATTGTAATGGCTGCGTGAAGGTTGCTTCATGCTGTGGCTGCATGCGTAATACTACTATTGTCTTTTGCAGCTGGACTTCGTAAATCGTATTGGAGTGGCTGCATGAAGGCTGCGACAGTGATTTGTCAGCAGATTTTCTCCATTTTGGCGCTAGTGATTTTCCTTCTAAAAATTCTTTTAAAAAGTGCTTCAAAATCGTCTTTTTTTCGCTCTGGCGTCGAGATCCATCCGGTTTTGGAGCTACAATTTCCGACGCCGTTGCGCGTAGTTCTCTTGTGTTTTGCAACTCAGTCTCCGCAGATCGCATTGTAATGGCTGCGTGAAGGTTGCTTCATGCTGTGGCTGCATGCGTAATACTATTGTCTTTTGCAGCTGGAGTTCGTAAATCGTATTGGAGTGGCTGCATGAAGGCTGCGACAGTGTGGACTGTGAAGTGCGAAGTGTGAAGTGTGAAGTGTGGAGTGTGAAGTTTCAAGTTTGGAGTGCGAAGAGTGCAGTGTGAAGTGTGGAGTGTGAAGACTTTGCTTCGTCTCTCGCTGAAAAAATCAAACGGTTGTCGAGGGAAGGACACGGTCGGGACAGGGTGTCTTCGAACTATAGGTCATTTATGTTTGGGAAACTTCCGCCGCCGGCTTGCCCGGGTCTATGTTATTGATTATTATCTATTAATGTTTCATTCTCACGTGCTTTAAAACCCCATATGCAATGCTGATCTACGACAACACACTACAACATTCTTCCTTGAGCCATTCTGTGCCATTCTTTGTGGGTTTCTTGAACTTCGCCAGGAAGTACTCCTTGGCACCTGTGGCCAAAGCAGTGGAGACGTGCAACTGGCGCATTTGTAAAACAAACAAAGCTATTCTTAGTGACTTCGACAAGTCACTTGGAATGTAATGAGGTTATATTTGAAGCCAATATAAAGCCTCAAGCCCAAAGATTTTATTCTCAGATGTGTTGCAGACCATACCGTACCTACTGAAGACTCTGTCGCAAGGATCCTTGAGCAAAAGGTCGTTTTCTTGAAGGATTGCGTTGGCAGTGAAGTAGAGGCAGCAGTGCTGCCCATCACGACAATGTAGCAATGATTGCCAAAGCAGGTCAACTCTCACAATCTCAGGATTCGGCAGCAAACATGGGAGATGTCAAGAACTGCAGTGCAGGCAGCCTGCGCCGATCCTGAACCAGGTTCTGTCATTCTCCTTGAGAATCTGAGTCAGAGGCCCAAAGGATGGCAGCATTGCCCTGCATTAGGCATCTCAATAATTCTCAATATAATATGATGTACTGTATATATATATATATATCACGAAAGGTAGCCTAGGCTACCTGAGTTCCATGTACTTTAGTCCTAGTTTAGTACTGGGGGAGGTGGTTGGCCCTTTCCTGGAAATTGACGGCTGGAAGTAAGGAATCTCCACATAAGGGGTGGGCCCCCCTTAACCATTCGAATCCTGCCTGGTCCGGATTGGAAAAACTCCCGATGTATTTGATGCTATGCATTTTGTTTACGGTTGGCCTCATGGAATTTCCATGGTTTTTTGGTCAGTTTGTTTCAGAGTACGGCCTGGGTCTCCTTTTCAATCTTCGATTGCGTTGACAAAACTCATCCCGTGGGCAGCGTTGTTTTGTGTAGGAGCTCCATGCTCCAACTGGAGTACTGTACGAGACCACTCGATGTCCTTCACAGGTCATGGACAATGCTCATGTTAGATAAGAAAACAATAGCAGTACGTCCCTTCGCTGCGACACTTATCCCTGAGCCACAAGGCTTTTTAATAATTCCACGAAACATGGACGGTTTCGTCTCTTGAAATTCTTGATGTTGCTTTTGCTTCAGAAATCTTCACGCACTTAGCCGCATGAAGGTTACATCCCTAAAGACCTATCCCTACACGCAACGTGCTTCAACCGAGCGTCCATCGGTTGAGGCACCTTGGCCCCTCTAATTCACATAGCTGGCCAACAAACTGACTAAGATTATCTTGCTTGTGGTTCTTATTACCGACTATGGCACAGGGTTGGTGGAATTTAGATATTGAGACAAGATGCATGCAAGAAGTTGCTGATGCCGGGGAAGTTCGGATATTGCAGCAACAAAAACGTAAGAAGTGGTGGAGAGGCCAATGGGGGAAGTCTACGTATGAAACGAAATGGGCACAGGAAATTGAGAGGCACCTAGGGGGAAGGGAAAGTTCGATATTGAAACAGGATGAGCGCAAAAAGTTGTTGAGAGATATGCCCCCACCTACCTTTTGCCCCCCCTCTCAAGTATATATATATATACACACATAGTTTGTATATATATATATATATGCACACACACACTGTTTATGTATAGTACATACATTAACTGCATATATATATATATACATATATATGCATACATACCACACTCCTATTTAAAGACTTGCTTGCAATTTTTCTGCATTTGCAGAAGCATCGCAAGGATTTCACATCGAGGAGGAAGGCAAGAATGAGGCCAAAGAAAAAGCAAGGACCCACAGAGTGCCTCTGAGGTCTCAGGGCTACGACAACTCAAACATATCTTAAGGTGAGATTCTGGATTTTTGCAGATCTTTGCAGCTGCGCACTGGCACTGAACTTGAAACTTTGCTTTGTAAATTTTGTGATGCATGTGCATTCCCTAGGCAGACCCTGAAAAGGTCAAAGAGTTTCGAGCCTCCTTGGTCCGCCAACGCAGCAGTTGGATTTTGTGTGCTGCACTTGTGCGGGCTCCAGGCTTCCGTTGCTGCACTTGAGGCAAAGTTGGGAGATGTCTACGTCAATGACGCATTTGGCACAGCCCACAGGGCTAGAATCTTGGATCTTCTCTGAAACATCAAGCTGCTTCCAGCCATTCGGTTGCGATGATTTGCGATGCTTTGAATGGGTGGCTGAATTTAAGTTGCTGTGGCAAGACGCAAGGCCTTTCTGATCTTTTGAGGCGCACAGCAGCATGCTGGGTGAGGGCTTCCCCTTGAGAGTAGCTGGCTTCCTGATGGGTCTTGGGCTAAGTCTTGCTTAAATTGGCTCAGGAATTGCTTATGCATTCGCTGCTTTCGTTGCAACGTTGAGGCAAGGAGCTAGCTTCCTTTGGCAAGGCGGAGCGGAACTGAAATGAGAGCCTCTGTCAAAACAAAGGGATCCCTAGACCACATGAGCTCTGTTCCGCCCTATACAGCTCGGGTCAAAATGCTTTGTCGTCAGTAGCAGTGTATTCATGACCATGATACAACATCATTTTCTCATCATCTTCATCCCCCTGCTCCTCCTCCCTCCTCTTCCTCGTTGTACCCACCCTCCTAATCCCTCCTATAGCCTTTGTTCCCTACCCCTTGGGCCCTTGGCTTCAAGTTGTCTTGGAGTCGTCTTGCTTTGAATGTGTTTCTTTTGGTTTGTCAGGTATTGAATAAGCCACGCCGCCCAGTCCTGGCTATTCTTGGTGGTGCCAAGGCCACTGTGTAGAAGGCCACTTGGAGATTCCTTCACATCGTCACATGCGAAAAGCAGCGAAGGTGAGTGACAAGATCCAATTGATCAAGAACATGCTGGACAAGGCTGGACAAGGCAGACAGTATAGATAGTAGACAGTCGTGTGGATGTCAGGTCTCACGATGGAGACTTCGGAGGATGGTTTTGTTGTTGGGTGGCTAGATGTATATTGAAATTCTGTGTTCGATTTTTGTAGCATTCTAGCCACCTCATCAATCATCTTAGCACTGCTGGGCTGCTATTTCGGGATACTTGCAGCAGGTTTCTGTTGATCGCCGGCGGATCGCTATTTTTAATTGCTCAGCTGTAACATTTGTAAGTAATGAATAGTAATGATACATAAGATACATAATGATCATTCCCCTGTGCAGAGAGCGGGCTCAACCCATTGAAGGTGTTTGTCGGGGTTGTGGATGGCCTTGTTGCAAATTGAATTGCCAAACACACTACATACATTGCTGCCTACATCAAATTACGTACGGCATTATGTGGCACATGTCATCACACATTTTGCATTGCAGATTGTTTTGCGGACAACGGATACTGCGTATGATATGCTAGAAGCAGTATCCATTACTTGCATGCTCTCAAATCCATGCACATGTTACGTTGGTGTAGATGGATTTGTTTGTGCAAACAGATGTGTATGTGCATGTGTAAATTGTAAATGTAACATTTACACGGTCTATGCCATATAGTTGTTTGTGAATTTGTGAATGCGTGTGCCAATTGGTTTGTGTATGCTCTACGTATATATGCATACGCGCAGGTATAGGAAATGTAGTATTTGCATGTGCATGGCAGCAAGTCATTGTATGTCCCTTACATAGATGTATATGCGGATAAATTTGTGCGTATATGATTGTCTATTCATGATCATTATTCAATGTATCCAATGTATTTTTATGTTTATTTTGTGTTCTGTCTCCGTCAATGCTCGCACAGACACTTCAATGATCCTGCACAAGTGGGGCACAGATTGCATAGAATGCATAGAAGGTGGACATCATGATCATTGGAGGTGGAATGGCCTGGCACTTGAAATGATCGAAATTTTCATGTCGAATTTTTCTGAAAATCATGGAAAGGACCTTGACGTATTTCCCAAATTCTCACTTGCTGAGGCCTATACATTTCTGAAAGTCAATGACGAGATGAAAATTGGCAACTCTTTATTTGACGAGGCACTTGCAAATTCCTTGAGGTGGCATAAGGTGGCATAAGGTGGCATAAGGTGGCATAAGGTGGCATATAGTGGCATATGGCATAATGTGAGTGTCAGAAACTTGTCCAACCTGCCATGGCAGGAAGGCTCCAAGATTGTCCCAGATATCATGGAGAAGGCCAGAAACGGAGTGGGAACGAAGTGGGGTGAATGATTGGTGAATGTATGTCAAAGTGGCCCAAGCTGGACACGTTTGACCCACTGACCCACCGTCGCAATTGCACATACTGAGGCGAAAGAAAAAGGTGTTCTGGGCTGAGTCTGTGGACTGATGCTACATGGTATTTGAGAAACACAATCACAGCCCTTTTTTATCATTGCGGAAATGGGCTTAGCTGATCAGCTTGTGAATCAACGCCGGATTTGCATTTGACGCTATAACTCTATAACTTGCATTGTTCGGCAGAATCGCTTCATGCAACTGGGAGCTCACTTCCTTTTCAATTTTGATTTGTCCTAGGTGGCTAGCTATTGGAAGGAACTGGTGCTTTTGCCTGTCCTTTTTTATAGCCCAGGTAGAAATCGTCCTTCCTGTTGACTTCGTAGCAGTTTGACTGCACTCAGGTTTGGACAGATTTTGTTGTGGTCGTGTGGAAGTTTGCGAAGCAAATGTTCCTCCTTTGCGCGAGCCGAGGTTTCGAGTGAATTTGGAGAAAAAGGAGAAATTAAGACTGTTACCAAGGTGGGAGAGCCACTTTACTAGGAACTGGCGATAATGCGGGCTGGACACAAGCAACAAGAACAAGATGAGAACCTTCCAGAGGCTATTTTGAGAATCCCTTTTCAGCGTCAGGCTGAAGGCATCCCAGAAGGCTTCATGGGTGCGACACCCAGTCATTTCAGGTCCAAGTCACAATCCAATGAAGTCCCATGAATCATACTTCCATATACTTTTCAGGTTTGGATTGTGGTCCAGAAAGCCAAAGTTTGAACAGAAAGGCGGTGAAAAAGGCGGACAGATTTAGCCGATGCCGAAAGAATCGAAACAATTAAGATATGGAGAGTATGGAGAGGTTGAACATGTCCGACACATGTCCTGAAGTCCAGCGCCTGTTGACTCTTGCCAGGCCAAGACAATTATTTGGAACGGTCCAATGGGTGTCTTTGAGATGGCCAGAAGTCGCCTTAGCCCGACCTGACATGACCTGACATGACCTGACATGGCCTGACATGGCCTGACAGTGGGAAGAGGGAACTATTATAATTTTCTTAGTCTGACAGTCTGACATGACAGGTTTTCTTTGATCTCTCGCTCAGCTTGCAATCTCTCACAGGATCATTTGCGAGTACAATGAATTGCAAATCTGGAACCGCAGGTCTTTCACTCGCTGATTCATATGCATCCGTTTTTGCGATAGCTAGATAGACACGTTTCTTATCAACAAACTTTATCCAGTGCTCAGTCCCATTGCCATGTCAATTGTGGTCACATGTAGTCACTGGTGGATGGAGACTAGATAATCTCTCAGTGCCAACATTCGACGATGTCCATGTTTTCACATTTTTGCATATATATATATACCGGCAGATTTGGTGAGGTTTTGAAGCTGGGACTAAAGTTTTGATGGATGATGTTGTAGCAGCCACAAAGCGCGGTCTGTGCCCGAGAGAGGCATTTTCTGCATATATTGTTCGAGCATGATCGACTCGATTGTCTTGGATTTGATGCTCTGACAAGCGTTCTTGGAAGAGTTCTTGATCCTCTGATCTGAGGCACGACTTCCATCATCGGTGGAGGTGACACAGCAACCTGCTGCAAAAAGTACGAGACTGAAGCAAAGGTCAGAAGCCCAGTGAAGCACAGTTTATCCGTGGGGAAGCTGCCATCAATGGCCAACGCCACATTGCTTAAATCTTTCAAAGGTCAGAATGATTCCAATGTGACACCTGAACCGGAACTGAAACGTGTAATATCGTGTAATACTGTATGATGCAGTGTGATGTTGCAGGTCACTCACTGCAGCACAGGAGGTGGTGCTTCTTTGGAGCTCCTTGAGGGCAAAGACCTGCCACAGCCTCTGCGCCTTTTGGCCTCTGGCCCCTATTGAGTCTGAAGTTTCCTCGTGGTTCATCGTGCTGCAGCCAAATGGCCAACCTCTGCCAAACCATATTCTCGGAGCATTTAGGAAATTTAAGATCTATCGAGATTGGACAAATCCGAAGTCGACAGCATACGCAGCATACGCAGCTTTCAACATATTTTGAGACAAAGGTCAGGTGCCGAGCAGGTCCATTGTCTGGTGCATCCATGTGCATCCAAGGCCTGGAGTCGCAGCACTAAGTGAAAAGGTGGCTCTCTCAGATACCAAAAGACGACGTCAGATTCTACAAACTCAGGGGATCTCGGGGATCTAGGGCCCCAGGGGGCCGGCTTTGCGGCTTGGTCTCACCAGGCACCAAGCACCTCAGACTACAGCCAAAGCCTGAAGCCATCAACACATGAAACGACAAACACTCTTTGGCACAAGCTGCTGCATTGAAAAAATTGAAAGATTTTTCAAGAGCTTTGTGAATACCATTGTCTTCAGAGGTGATGACAACATCTTCTCCAAGATTATTGATGGCACTATTCCGTGCTTCAAAATCTTTGAAACAGAGGACGGATGCTCCATCAAATGTAGCGGCTCCAAGTATGCATTGTGTAAACACGTTTGCGCTTCCAGTATCTTGGCTCTCAGGACACTCTTGCTTTCCTGGATGCATTCCCGAAAACGAAGGGCCATTCTGTTCTGATTCTGAAACGGAAGGCCTGAGCAATCTGAGTGGACGCGCAAGTTTTCTTCCGAACATCTTTGATACAAAGTGTTTGATTGATTTTGATTGGTTGAGAGTGGAATCCCAGGGCTTCACTTCGCTGGAGAGCATGCCTGGTCTCTCAGATGGTCGTAGACGCTACAGATGGCCGCAACTTCCCGAAATGAATCCAATCGAATCCAATTGAGAGGTATTTTGATTCTGTGACACGCACAGTGTCTGTGCATGCTTGTCACCATGTCTCTGCTAGTGTATCCTCTATGCCTACGTCTATCAAAGGCCATGGTCTCTACAATATCACTCCTGAAAAGAGCGAGGTTGTTGAGGTGCTCAATTCTTAAGCGGACTGGATCCTGTTTCAAGGACGTTACCTCCTGTGTGTTGCTCCACCTTTCTACCCGTTGTTTCTAAAGTGGATCCTAGGCCTCTTTGTGACCTTGCGTGCTTCCCCAGTGTTTTCTTTGTGGTCCACTGAACACCTACACTCACGCAGACACACTTTGGTAAACTCCATAATGGAGAGGGTGAAATGAGATGAAATGATAACCGTCATGTCGTGTTGTTACATTAGCATGTCATGTCATGTCATGTCATGGCATGTCGGCGTGGGTGGTTTTTGGCTTGGCCACCTTGCCATTTCGGATGCAGGTACGTTTTCACGACGACATAGATGGGTCTTCGTTGGCCCGTGCCATCTATGCGTCCACGGGCCCCCTGCTTTTCCCTTTGATTCAGGGTTTCTCACACACAGCAAGCCACTAGGGCACGATGTTTCTATTCCGTTGCTTGTTCTCTTAGATCCAAGGTTTCCACTTAGACGTATATCAAGCCGCTGGACACGATTTTCCCAAGAACAACTTCCCTCGGTGTGGTTGTTTTGGACTGAATGCGAAGAAAATGACCCCTCAGCGCTGTTGGTCTTGTGTGCCATATGTCGAAACCAAATTGCAAACAAACCAAACTTTTTTGGAGTTGAAACTGAACGGATAAGACTGGTGGTTTGAAGTGAATATATTAGGTATAAAATCAAGTCTCTTGCTTGACCAAAGAACCAATCAGCAAGTATGCCGAAGAAGCAATGTCGGTTTGTAGATCTGTGTCGTCTGCGTCGCCTGGTGGTGGATCTGTGCTTCTTGCGTGTGGTGCGAGATCGTGTACGGCTGTGCTTGTTGTGACTCAGTGGTGGAGTTGAAGCTGTAGTGGTTGAAATTGCTGTGAAAATGGCGTGGCTGGTACTGGTTGTACTAGTGTTGTGCTTGTTGACTGTGGTGTAGACTGGTAAGTGACGAATGATCCATATTGTGGTGGTGAGAGCTGAAGATTGGGTATGGCTGCATTGTAATGTGGTGGTGGCTGAAGACATGGCATGGCTGTGCTGTGATGTTGTGTGTTGAAAGCATAGAGGTTGTGTAAACGCAGAGTTGGCAAATGGTGCTTGTGTTGGCTGTGGGACGGTGTGTCCCATAAGTTGTTGTGGTTGTTGTTGTGGAGTTGGAGCAAAAGGCTGTCTGAAAGCTGCAGTGGCACACTGTGGTTGCATTGAGTGTGGTATAGTGTGTCCGGCTGGATCATGTTGTTGTGGAGTCTGAGAGAATGTTGGTAGAAAGGTGCTGATGCTTGTGTGTTCTGTGATGCTTGTGTGTTGCACATAAGTCGTCGTCGAAGCTGAGCGTAGAGCCGGTGTCCGATTCCCAAATAAGTGGTGCGTAGTGCTTGTTGTAAGTGTGGTGTTGAGTGTTGTTTTGTGACTTGTCGTTGTAAGATAAACGGGTAGTTGAGTGGTGGACACCACTTTTGGATGATGTAGCTTTCCAGCGTTCGTGTTTGTAATGTTGTATTGGTGGGTAACAACGGCAATGCGACAAATTGATGATAGTTGTTTTGGCTGCAAAACCAATGGAGTGCCAACTTGCATGACACAGGTTGTGCTCGTTTTAATTGTCTGAGCTTGCGTTGTCTGGTGTTCTGACGGTCGTGTAGCGTGTGTATGGTACTGCCGATGTAGTGTTCTGTGCTGGAAAGACGAATGTTGAGTCCCGATATGACAACTGCATGAAGAAGTATATATACAGTGTTGGATTGACAGAACATTTGTTGCAACTGTACAAAAGTGCGAACAGACTTTAAACATGTTCTGTCAAATCTCCGATTCCATTTTCGACATGATTGTTGATGAACCTGATTGGTACACCAATGAAGAAAACAAAAACCAACTGCAACACGTAGGAATGTTCGATAAGCAACAGTGTCATAGAAATCGTCAGGTGGAAAATGTTGTAAGAATCCGAAAAACGCAACGCATGCCGCCGAAAACTGTACATGATCCGGATCGCCGCGGTCTAGTCACTCTAGTTGAGTGACCGCAAACAGCGGCAGCTTGTAGAGCTCCTCATTGCGCGCCTTTGCCGCCAGCGCCACCGGCAAACCAAGCGATGCTGCTTTGTCTGCAAACGTGCTTTGCTCGGCTTTTGGGATGTTCTTCATAAGTTGATGCAATGTGCTCAATGCCTCCTGAAGGGCTGCTTGGTGTTGTTTTGGAACTGGCTGTTTTTTAATCCAAGCGTCCACTGTTTTGGTTACGAGTGTGTGCGGTGCGGCTGTGGTGAAAGGACGTGTGGTGTTTGTGCCTGGTAGATTTTGGATGCTATCCTGTAGGTCGGTGATTGTGGTTTGTCGAGGAGCATCACTTACACTGCGAGGAGTGGTGGTGTGTGCTGAGGTAGTAGTGTTTTCCGCACCGCTTGCTTTGATGCCCATGTCCATCCAATTGGACCATCCCATGTATGCCAATTGACGTAGGTGGATACTTTCGATGGGTCGGCCTGCAAGTTGGTACCTTTGGCTCCAAGCTGTGGATGTGATTTGGCGTGGAAACGTCAAGCCATACTGGTGTTTGGTGTCAAAGTGTTCATTGTCTGGCTGGAAACTGCTCGGTAAGTTTCGGTCGTACCGCTTTGTGCCTTGTGGGCTCGGTGGTTCGTTTCAATGCTGGTGTTGTGTGTGTGCTTGAAATGCTCTTGGTGGTGTGTTGACTTGGTATTGTTTCGAATGCCAAGAATCATACGGTCTCATGCTGCCGCGCCACGAGGTCATGGTTGCACTCAAACAACGAAAAAACGTGAAGGTGTCTTGATGATTGCGATAATATTTACTTTTGAGCACGGAGATTGCTATCAGAAACAAAGTCCGAAACAGAGATTGCTATCAGAGACAACATCCGAAACAAAATTGGAACAATGGATGAAATTAGGCAATTAGGATTTGATAACATCAACAATGTTAACACATGTGACGCTTAGAATTACAATGGGTGACGACATGTTGGCAAGACTCTTCAAAACAGTTCCAAACGGCTTGGTGGAAGTACACTGTACATCGGCTCTTTTTGTTGGTTCCGCTGATATGTTCTATGCCACGTGTCACCAGGAAGATTTCACAAGGGATATTATTTATATCACAAGGACACATTATATTTATAGGAAGGTGGAGATTCTTGAAAATTAATAAATTCGATAAAAATGGCATATCATATTGTAATATAAACGGAGGTGAAACTGGCGTATCAGCAGCCTCTCATTTGCACGTCTGTCGGCAGCAGCTGCGGCTCGCCAAACTCATCTTCATGCTCAAGCATGTGCTGTACTGGTGTGGAGAAGTTTGGATCAGGCTTAAGGATCCAAATGCTGGAGATGTGTGCCAGTGTTGAGTGAATGCACCAGCGGCGATCCCGTGGTCTGTGGACTATGCCGTGAGTGTCTACTTCTTCTTGTTCGGCCCATCCAGATTCGTTTGTGGCATGTGCCCAGTGGTAGTAGGCGTTGCCTGCTTGTGATAGTGATGTTGTGGTGTTGCGTGGCATGTTTTGTAAGTGTAGTTGCCACATTCTGAATTGTTGGTGCTGGTGAAATGTGATGTGGGTAAGTGTGTTGTTGATAGGCATGCCGGTTGTGACGATGTACTTTGCTAACGTTGTGGTGATGTCTTCTTGTGGTAGGTCGATGCCTGCTGGAAATCGTGTTTCCAACCAAGCTGTCATGTCACGTACACTTTTGTCCCGATCTGATAAGAATCGGAAGTATACTGACGGTGCTGTGAGCTCACGGGCTTGGAGTGTTGCTGAGTGAAGGCGTTGCTCTAACTCTTGGTACTTGAATATCTGGTAGCTGTCACGCGTGGGAGGTTCCCACGGAATGAGGACTGACGGATCCTGTTGTATTTGTCGTTCGATGGCTTCTTGAAGGTGATCAATTGCTTGTGTTGGCTGTGGTTCGTTTGTAGTGTTGGTGGTGTCAAGTGGTGTTGGTGGTGTGTATTGCTGGCGAGGTGTGAGGTGGACTTGTCCCGCTGTGACAGTCTTTGATGTTGTGGTGTTGTAAATGTTCTTGGACTTGGCGATGGACCTGATTTGGTCAGCCAGGCTAGTCGGTGGTGGTACTTTGGGAGGAAGCAAAGGAGGCGGCGGAGGTGGTTGTTGATGAGGAGTGGGAGAAGTGGAGAACAGGTGTTTACCTGTGTGTTCTGATGGTAACGGTGGTGGTGGAAGAGATGGTAGTTGTGTTGTTGGTGGTGGTGGTAGTGGTGAAGTGTGGTGATGTGGTGACGTGTGTTGCTGAGAAGATGCTGCTGGTTTGTGTCCGGTGTGTGATCGATGGTTGGATTTGGATCTGTCAGTGTTTGAGGGATGTTGCCTGCGATGTGAACGATGCTGGCGTCGACGTTGTGATTGGTGTTGTGATTTGTGGTGTCGTGAGTGATGTCGTTTCGTAGATTTGCGTCGGCTGTGTCGCCTGGTAGTGGATCTGTGCTTCTTGCATGTGGTGAGAGATCGCGTACGGCTGTGCTTGTTGTGACTCCGTGGTGGAGTTGAAGCTGTAGTGATTGGAGATTGCTGTGAAACTGGTGTGGCTGGTAGTGGTTGTACTAGTGTCGTGCTTGTTGAGTGTGGTGTAGGCTGGTAAGTGAGGAATGATCCATATTGTGATGGTGAGAGCTGAGGATTGGGTATGGCTGCGTTGTAATGTGGTGGTGGCTGAAGACCTGGCATGGCTGTGCTGTGATGTGGTGTGTTGAAAGTGTGACAAGATGGAGGTTGTGTAAACGCAGAGTTGGCAAATGGTGCTTGTGTTGGCTGTGGGACGGTGTGTCCCAGAAGTTGTGGTTGTTGTTGTTGTTGAGTTGGAGCAAAAGGCTGTGTGAAAGCTGCTGTGGTACACTGTGGCTGCATTGATTGTGGTAAAGTGTGTCCGGCTCGATAATGTTGTGGTGGAGTCTGAGAGAATGTTGATAGAAAAGGTGCTGATGCTTGTGTGTTGTGTGATGCTGAACTCATCCACTGGGCAAACAAATCAGCTGCCGTCATCGCGGGCTGCATGGTCGGAATCACGAAGCTGCAAGCGCTGCACATGTCAATCTTCAATGTGGCCATGATGTCAAATCGAAAGTTATCTAACTCATGTTATTACTCAACATGGCATGATGATTCACATTCATGGCTTTCAAAGGTGATTGGAGTGAGTGGAACTGGATCGAATATGGCGTTGCATGTCAAATGAGCGTTGGCTTTGCTCAGCAAGAATGTGGAGGTGAACCCAAGCTGTGGTGTGCTTGGAAAGATTGTGGTTGTAAAATTGGAAAACTTGTTGATATCTGTGCTTCTTGCGTGTGGTGCGAGATCGTGTACGGTTGTGCTTGTTGTGACTCAGTGGTGGAGTTGAAGCTGTAGTGGTTGGAAATTGCTGTGAAACTGGTGTACTAGTGTCGTGCTTGTTGAGTGTGGTGTAGGCTGGTAATTGAGGAATGATCCATATTGTGGTGGTGAGAGCTGAGGATTGGGTATGGCTGCGTTCTAGTGTGGTGGTGGCTGAAAACCTGGCATGGCTGTGTTGTGATGTGGTGTGTTGAAAGTGTGACAAGATGGAGGTTGTGTAAACGCAGAGTTGGTAAATGGTGCTTGTGTTGGCTGTGGGACGGTGTGTCCCAGAAGTTGTGGTTGTTGTTGTTGTTGTTGTTGTTGTTGTTGTGGAGTTGGAGCAAAAGTCTGTGTGAAAGCTGCTGTGGTACACTGTGGTTGCATTGATTGTGGTAAAGTGTGTCCGGCTGGATAATGTTGTTGTGGAGTTTGAGAGAATGTTGATAGAAAAGGTGCTGATGCTTGTGTGTTGTGTGATGCTGAACTCATCCACTGGGCAAACAAATCAGCTGCCGTCATCGCGGGCTGCATGGTCGGAATCACGAAGCTGCAAGCGCTGCACATGTCAATCTTCAATGTGGCCATGATGTCAAACCGAAAGTTATCTAACTCATGTTATTAGTCAACATGGCATGATGATTCATGTTCATGGCTTTCATGTTGCGCCATGTGAACTACGTGATGATTCATGTTCAGGGTTTTCATGTTGCACCATGTAAACTACGCGAAAACCATAAACTGGTCTCAGCGAGACTAACGAGTCATGTCTGTAAAAAGCCGCGAGCAGTCATGCATGGTATCCGTGTTGCAATCATACTGCTAGTTCATGTGTAGAGGTCAAGGTTAAGAGTGAAATGACGGTCGTGTTAGTTAAACAAGTAGAACCACATGGGATGACACGGGGTTATTCTGAGGGATGAAAATTTCACTCTGGATTTATTCTGACGTGGACTCTGGATTTATTCTGAAAAGCATTCAATCCCCTGATGAAGTCTTCTGGATGCTTGTGCGGACTCTGGATGCTTGTGCGGAACTGGCTTCTGGCAACATTATGTCTGGATTTATTCTTGTAACCTGGTATCCCCGGCGGACGCACCACCAAGCTTCCCCGGCACTTTGTCAGAGATCCGGGTGCATGAAAGACACACTTTGGTAAACTCCATAATGGAGAGGGTGAAATCAGATGACATGATAACCGTCATGTCGTGTTGTTACATTAGCATGTCATGTCATGTCATGTCATGGCATGTCGGCGTGGGTGGTTTTTGGCTTGGCCACCTTGCCATTTCGGATGCAGGTACGTTTTCACGACGACATAGATGGGTCTTCGTTGGCCCGTGCCATCTATGCGTCCACGGGCCCCCTGCTTTTCCCTTTGATTCAGGGTTTCTCACACACACACAGAGCTCGAGCTTGGGGATGCTTGGGTGACAACGACAATTCAAAATGCATAGGACTTTTTAAGGTTGGTTTTTGAATTTGAGAGGAAGGGGAAACAAGGTATAATTTTTAGGGAACTATAATATCAGGTGTTCTACATATTTGATATCTCTACTGTACAACCATTGTGCAGTAGCTTGCTCATCCGAACTGCACATCTTTCATGATACTGTACGATTGTTGCACCCTATCAAGCATGTTTGCCAGCCAGCAAAAGGCATTCGCAAACTGACATTTCTCCAGAAATCCAGGTGGTAGAAACCGAACATGGCAACAAACATGTTCCACCTGGCTTGCGCCCCTGATAGAACTCAAAAAGCATTTCGCCCTTTTCCCGTTTGCTTGGTATACAAGCAGTCAAAAGACTTCTGAGGGTGCAGATGAACAGGTTTGCAGGGAAGCAGATAAGCTTTGCTGACAAGCCCACCTCAGATTTGTCGTGCACAAGGCACATTGATACTCTTGTCATCTCTTGTCACTCTTTTTGCCACACTACGATTATCGAAGGAAGTTTAGAAGT